CCGGTCCACCCCGGTCCACCCCGCTCCTGCCTGTGTGTCCAGCAGAGGCAGCACCCGCGGCCCGCCTGACCCGGGAGTGCGGGTTGGGCAGGTGGGCTCACGTCTTTACCCGGTCTTCTTAACTTTGCTGTTCCCCTCCTTGATTTTGCCCACTTTTGGACCATGATAGCCCCTCTAAGACCAAGGCATCCTCTGGAGGTTTTTTTTTTTGGTGTTTATAAGCTTCTTTTTTTATTTTATTAAAACATGTTTGCAGTTCGCACAATCTACTGTCCTCTTGGGGAGCGGTTACGTGTGCACACCACAGCCTGTTTCAGTTTTTCAATCCCCTTTCTTTTCTCTTCCCCTCCCTTCCTCCTCCTCCAATTCACCAGTCCCAGTTTTCATTCTTGTTGATATTATTAACTTTAACTTGTGTTATGGCATATAATGTTTATGTGAACTGGGATTACCAGTTTCCTGTACATGGCACATCTTTGTTCCTCTCATTTCCCCTTCCCGTCCTCCTCACTCCTTGCTCTTGTTTCTTTGGGGCACTTCCCTCTTGCAAGAGATCCACCCTCATCCCCTTCTATCCATCCTTTAGCATTCTCCTTGTTTGTACTTGGCCTCACTCAAATGAGAGATACCATCCGGTATTTAAGCTTGTGTGTCTGATTTATTTCACTCAATGTTAGGTGCATCCATTATCCTACACATGTCTCAAATCTGTCATTCTTTACAGCAGAATAGCTTCCATGATATGTAGAAACCACCTTTTCTTTATCCAATCATCTGTGGATGGTAGCCAGGCTGTTTCCAGGATTATGAGTCATGCTGCTATAGACATTAGCAGGCAAGTATTGCTGTAGTATGATGATGTAAGCTTTTTAGGGAAGGGACTTAGCAGGGGGGCTGCTAAGCTTTGGATGTGATGTCTCCATGGTGACCTCAGCCACCCCTGCAGCCCCCTTGGTGCCTGCAGCCCTCCAGGAGCTGGAGAGTCTCTCAGCTCGGCATAGGACTTCCCCTGTATTCTGCCCACCTGGCAGCCAAGACCTGTGTCTCCAGGGTTGGCAGCTCTTGGGATTGCTCCCGCTGGCCTCATGGGCACAGGGACCAGCCAGAGCCACTGCACCTGCCCAAAGGGCCACTGGGACCAACCCCACTGCATCTGCAGAGCTGAGCTCTGTGCCTATGTGTAGCTCCCGATCTGCCAGGACCACTGTGTGTTCCTCTCAAGGCCACAGTTTCTTTGTTGTCTGTCCTGGCCTCCCTGGATGAGAGTGGTCTCTTCTTCCCAAAGGCCTTGGAAGAATGAGCAGTACAAAAGATGCACAAGCGGTCAGCCACTGGCTGGGTTTCCTTTGACCAAGTGCCATTCCTAGCTCTGTTCAAGGGCTCTGTTCAAGGTTCGTCAGGCTAATGGTTCCTCTGAGACGGGGGACACAAAGAGCCACCCCACCACCTGCTGTTCAGTCCTAGGGGAGAACAAGGGGGTGGATCTTCCAGGATGTGGCCCTTGGGTGCCACAACGTGTCAGGTGAGCTTCTCAGTCCAGAATTCCCAAGGCCCATTCCTGGCAACCCTTTCCTTTGCTAACAGCAACCTCTTGCCACGAAACAAGCTGCCCCAGAATTGGTGGATTAGAGCCACAGACACAGGTCCTCTGGCCTGTCTGGGTTTGGCTGGCTTTGACTGGGCTCACTCTGCATCTGTGCTCAGCTGTTAGGCCTCACCTGCTGTGTGGCGAGAAGCTGGCTGCCCACCGTGTGATAGAGCAACTTGGTGACTCCATTTCTCATCAGGGCAGCCTGGATCTGTGGCCCCGGCAGACACAAGGGTCCTGGCGCTGTCCCTCCCAGCTCTATCCTCTGAACTCTCTCCTGTCTGCTCTGACACCCCCCAGCCTGCACTGCAGCTTCTGTGACTTTCTTTTTTTGATCCACCTATGCTCCTCCCTGGGGTGCCAGATTGAGTAAGTAAAAGTACAGAATACTCCATTAATTTGAATATTGTAGAAATAACAAAAATATGTTTAGTATATGTATGGCTCAAATATTACATGGGATGTATTCAAAAAGATTATTTGTTGTTTATCTAAAATCAGGTTTGCTGGGTGCCCCGTATTCTATCTGGCCCTCTCCCCTCTTACATCTTCTTCCCAGGACAGAGTACAAGGAGGAAGGGATCCCAACAGGCTTCTGGGGTCGTCAGTGACTCTTTGTAACCATCAGGGGACAGGGCTCACTTTTGGTGATGGCCAGTGGGTGTAGGATCAATGTTTTTCCCTTTCAGTGCCTCTGCCATTTAAAAGATATGTGATAAAAGGTACGCTGAGAGGTTCTGGTTTTTGAGGGATTTCAACTACTGTGAGAAACACATCCTCCCTCAAACGTGAAGCTGGTCAGGAATCATCACAGACACGACATTCAGCGTTGCCTCACAAAATCTTCCTCTAAATGATGTTGGTTGGCATCAGAGGACTTCGAAGCTCAGGCTGTGTCAATATTTTTTTTTGGTACCAGGGTCTCGAACTTGGGTCCTTACGCTTGTGCAGCAGGTGGTGAAACTACTGAGCTAAATCCCTGGCCCAGGCTGTGTCAATAATATTCAATCATTTAGTAACCTTTAGAAACATATTCCCTTTCCCTCTGTTTTGTGTCTGTATCTCCAACCCACAAGCTTTCTTCCCTCACCTGCCACTGGCTATTTTGTATCATCTTAGTGGTAAAACCCAAGATTAGGGTTTGGGCTTTGGAAAAACAGATCCCTTGGGTCTCAGTTATGTGTCAGGGAGTCTAATTCAGTGGACCAGGTTTTTGAATGATCTTGGTTCAAAGCCACAGCCAGTGCCATGACTAACAAATCTGGGGCTTCCATTCTCCTTCTGCGTATTGTTCATAATTACAGCCAAGGAACTGTGGAGAGGTGGGGCTGTGTGGACTGGAGTAAGACATGGTCTTTCGAGATCACTATTGCAATCTGCATAGCTCACTGGCTTTTTTTTTGTTTTCTTTTTTCCAGTTCTGGGGATCAAACTCAGGACCTTGCATTTGCAAGGCAGGCACATTGCCACTGAGCTAAATCCCCAGTCCCGCTCACTGGCTTTTAACACTCGGTGAATCAGGACAAAATAAACACCGTCTTCTACATTGCTGAAAGGTCCAGAAAAGAGAACTGAGGCAGGCAATTAGGGTTTGGCAGGCTGGCTGAAAACAGGATGCAGCAGGTTACCTGAGCTGGAACAGAGGCTGGTCAACAACAGGAAGTGACCTGTCAATCACAGCCGGCGCGCCTGGGCAGAACAACTTCCCAGGGACCGGATCTGGGAGGTACAAAAGGCAATGGCCGTCAACTGCTGCTACTGGGATCTTGCTGTCCTACTGTCTTCCTGCTTCTGCAGCTGCCTGTCCTGCTTTCAGGACACATCTCTACTTGTTCTTTTGCTTTTTTTTTTTTTTTTAAACTCTTTTCTTCCTTCTCTTTTCTTCACTTTTTCCCTTTTCTTCTTTTACTTTCAATAAGAGTTATATTTACCTATTCATTGGTTATCTTGCACAATTGTTTGAGTGGGAAAGAAAGAGCCTGGAGCCACCAGACATCACACTGTCCTGCAACAGAAGCACGTATCTTACCGCCTCGGATCATCTTGCAAGAGATTTCACCTGGCCATCATATACGAGACATGAGTGGGCCTGAGGGACAAAGGGTATCAAAGCAACACGCTTTGCCAGTTATCATTAAACAAAGAAATAAAGACCTCAGTGTTTCTAATCATCTAGTGGGTCTCAGACCAAAACTTCCTCTGCAGCACAACTGAAATCTTAAGGTCAGACACCATGAACAGCTGCACTGTGTGGTCCACCAAGACTCTAGGACTATTTGTTTCTAAAAAATAAATCAAGGCATTCAGCATTCAGTTGCTGCTCCCCATGGCGCACTGATTTCAAAAGGAACAAAAGTAGCATTTTAAGATATGCCCACATTATGTAAGGAACATTCCCAGGGCAGTGTGCTTTCTAAAATATCTAACTGACCAGCTCTGGTGCCTAACAGACCCTGGGAAGCTTGCACCAGACCGTGCACAAAAAACTTACCTCAGGGTCTTTTCCTGTTTTATCAACATTTGAAAGGACTTCAAAGAAGATTGGATGGGACTGAAAGACAGAACATCCTAACAAAACTCATGTAACTAAAACTTAAACTTGCACTTGGTGCAATTGCCATCTTGGCTCTTGCCCACTCTTTCCCTGTGTACTTTCACTTGGCACTGTTTCCTTTTGCAGTGAATTCTGTCTTTGCTTCACAGTGCTTTTCCGTGTCTTGACTGAAGTCTTTCATCAAGAACGCAAAGGTTCGAGAACTGCCCCAGCAGCCTGAGGATGATATGCGCGGTGGCTCTGGTGCCTTCCTCTTCTGTCCCGGGTGGATGCTGCCAGGACAGGCACATTTAGGGGGCTGTGGTCCCAATCTCTGAAGGATGCCATCTCCACTGAAAACAGCGGCCCAAGGCACGCTACCGACCATGCTTTTCCCCGTGCGCATCTTGCTGCTGGCCGTCCTGACCTCACACTTGCTTGGTTTGGAGGCGGCCCCTAACCCTGACGCTCTCTCCTCTCTGCTTCAGTTGGCCTCCCTTGCTGGCCGGCCCATGACTGTACTGTCCTCTCCACACCCTGGCTCTTTATGGCTCAGGGCTGAGAGGTCCTGGCCCAGGTCCAGCTGCACCCCACCCCAAGGCGATCCAGCCCCTGACTTCTGAGCAGGAGAACCTCACTTGGCTCTCTGCCCAGGTGGACCTCTGTGAAGGGAGTGTCTTGCTTATTACTCCTGATGTCCCCTGTGCCTGTCACTGTGACCCTTATCTGAAGGACACTCAGCAAATATCTATCCTGGCGGTGGCAGTGGCAGCTGTTTCCCAGGAGATCATAACATGGGCTGTTCTCATCTTCTGCTTTCTAATCACAGTTAGCAACACCAGCCTGAGATGACCGTGGAGTGATGGGCAGAAGCTGCTCTGGGGTAGATGCAATTCCTCAGGGTTCACAAACCCAACTTTATTAGCATCTGAGCACACTGGTACACTGCAGTGCAGGCTCGGGCTGGCCTTCCTGTTTGGTTAGGGGACAGAAGACATCCCTGACCTCCCAGCACGGTCACCCTGCAGCTGGGTTGACGACTTTGCCCAGGAAGAGCAGGCTCTGGGTGGTCACCTCCCACAGCAGCATCAAGAAAGGCCTGTTAAAGTGGGCACAGGGCGCTGAGGTCGTGTTCAGGGCTGACGGCTGCGAGAGGAGGCCCGAGGCAGCCCCGACCTCAGTTCCCTTCTCGTTCATGTCCACCACCACCTTGTGGGACACCTACAAAGAGACACGGCATCGTTCAGAGGGGCTTGGAGGACAGAGGCCACCTTCTGGGGCATTGGTGAGACTGAGTAGCCATGCCACTCAAGCCCTGCAGCCTAGACGGCAGCTCCCGCCTTCCCTTCAGTCCCTCCCTCCTCATTTTCTCCCTCCCGATGGTCCACCTGACAGTGCCCACTGCCCTCTGGCAGGAAGATGAATGCGCCTGAGCCAGGCTGAGGCTGCCCGAGTGTGCCAGGTGCTAGTGGCCCCTCCAGTAGCATTTCTCCACACCTGGGCACAGGTAGAGCTGGGCACAGCTGCGTTCCTTTTCCTTCTGCCAGCTGCACCTGACCTCTCCGAGGCTCAGTCTTCTCATCTTTAAAATGGCTTGCTCAGCCTGGATCCACGGCGTTCTAAATGCACTCAGTGGAAGGGAGCTGCCGTCCCCTCCTCTAACTCCTTTCCTCGTTTCCTCCCTTCCCATCCTCCTCTTTTTCCTCCTTCTCCTCCTCCTCTTCCTCCTTCTCCTCATTTTCACACATTTCCTCATTTCCTGGGAGGAAAGGATTCTGAGACTTTAAAAGAAGTTGAAAACAATTGGTCTTGATTATCCTTTTTATTTCTAAAAGACTGTGAAAAAAAAATGTAGCAAAAGCTCTTTAAAAAGCAAAAATGTTTCTTTTTCTTCTTGTTTACCCTCCCACCATGCAGTGGACACACACACACACACACACACACACACAAAATCACACACTTCACCCTCAGCTGGTCTTTTCCTAGTAAGAGACAGAATGCTTTCTTTATGAAGTTCCTAACAAAGATTCAAAAGGTAAGGAACAACTGTATCATAAAACAAAACAGATAAGCAAGGCTCAGGGAAGGGCCTTTGGTGCCTTTCCTGCTGTATTATTATTCTCAAATGTCAACTCTCCCTTCCTGTTAGAGGGTTGTGGATCCTTCAGCACTCCGCTGGCTCCCAGGAACTCCTGTCAGGAAGAACACAGCCCCTCCCCACTGAAAATGGCCTTGAGCAGCCATGCTGTAGGCCACGTGCAGGAGAACTGTTAAGATTCATTGAACATTTTCTCTTGATTTCCCCTCTCCACTGAGAATGGTGTATCCCAGACATGGGGTAGTCTTACCCCATATCCTGGGAGGATGAAGACATGGGAACCAGACATGAGGCCAGTGGTAGAGACCTGCCTCTGACATGCAATAGGAACAGGAAATAAGCCTTTCTTGTGGTAAGGTGCTGAGCTGCAGGGCTGACTGATACACCTCCTGTTCTTGCCCCACACTAAAGCTATAACAAAGGCAAAAAGAATCTTGTTGCTGTTCTAGGAGGATGTCTTAGGAATAAAAGCAATGACATCTCACACATGGGAGAATTATGGCTCAGTGGATGACCTCGAATGAGGGTCTGTTTTACTGAGAAATCTGTATTCCTTCTCTGGAAAATATAGATCTGGAAGAGGAGGGTAGAAAGGGAGCTGCCAATGAAAAGAAGCCAAAAGATTGTGGTTTTGAAGAATCAGTACAGAAAAATAAAGGAGAACTTGATTTTCAAGTGCACCTTGTGTGAGAGGAGAAAGACCCCCACTTGCTACACGTTCACAGTCATGGCCTTACCCGGGAGATGGAGCTATTGAACTGTCCAGTGATTCTTGAAAAGTCAGCTCCCAAGTCGAATATGTTGGTGACACCAATCTGGGGAAGGATCTCTTCCAGGTTGTAAGTTCCAGAAATTGAAAACCTCGGCAAGTGCAAATCCAGCAGGCTGAGAGAGAATCAGAGAAAGAGACAGGACCGTCGTGTTACACAAGCTGCTGTCAGGCTGTCTGCTGGCAGCCTAAGCGGGGGGAGGGAACAGTGGCTCCCAGCATGAGGCCCTCAGTCTCCCTGTCCTCCCAAGGTATGATTGCCATGGTAGAGCCTTCCACAGCTGCACCCAGTGCTCCCCTCTCTTTAGCCCTCATGGAACACTTAGGGGCCGGGGCCGGAAAGATTCCTGTCTCCATCATCTTCATCATGTTTGTGTAAGAAAGGGTGGAAAGATAGAAGGAAAGAAAGAAAGGAACAAGGGCGGGAGGGGGTTTTGCAGAATATGCTAAGATACAGATGGACAGGTAAGCAAGTGAATCAATAGACTGACAAAGAGAGAAACATTCATTTCTAATGTGCAAAGGTCAATAACATTTATACGGAGGAACCAGAGAAATGATACAAGAAAGTGAAACATACTGACTCCCTAAAATACATACATAGAGATTCTGGGTTTTTTAAAGGAAACTTTGATGTTATGCCTTACTTTTCTTTCTTCAAAGTATTCAAGTAGCTCAGGGAAGAGAGATTAAATTTTACAGTTAGTTACCGCAGTGGAAGTCATCAATTCTTAGTGAAATAATGGATTGCAGCACTATGACCATGAAAACGACAAACTCTAGACACTGCCACAGAACTCAGTCTATTAGAGGGGTCATTACTATACAACAATCTGGTCTCCTTCTATTCTTGTCATTATGAACAATTATACTGGCACTAAGTACCGTATACTACTTACTTAGCCATTCTGTGGTAACATCATTTTTACAGTGCAATATCCAATTGCTGACATTTAGGGGAGATAAAGTCAGAATCAGAATTCCCCAAGATGACTGTAAACTGCACGAATTGCAAACATGTACTAATAAAAAAGAAGCAATTAGTTCAAACAAAGCAGTTTGTTACAGGGTTTGTTGACCTTATTGGTGAAAATACCAGAGTATGCAAGGGGAAAAGGACCCCAGTTCCTCAAGTCAAGAGTAATTGACTTATACATTAATTAAATTTCACCTCTGTTATCCAAAAGATTTTAAAGGGGTGTAGTTTAGACTTTTAACTTTTTAACTTGCCTAGCATTCACTGGGTTCAACTCCCAGTATGGCAAAAAAAAAAAAAAAAAAGGAAGAAAGAAAAGAAAATTTAAGAGACTCTAGGCCAGGGATTTAGCTCAGTGGTGCTACCACCACCTGCCCTGCAAGTGCAAGGTCCTGAGTTTGATCCCTGGTACCAAAAAAAAAAAAAAAAAAGAGAGAGAGAGAGACTCTATACCACACCCCCCCATAATTTTTCTGTTCTATAAAACAAATTCAGGAATGTCAACATTATTATGTGTCATTAAGATTTCTTAGGTGGAAACTTGTCTTTGTAAAGTGTATAATGTAAAAAGTAACTTTTTCTTAACGAGATCTTTGACTACTGGTAGGCTCTAACAATTTATATAAGTATTCTCACTTTCCTACTTCTACAAAATAAAATTGTATCTTACCCACAGCCTAAAAAATGAAATAAATATTTGGTAATTAACTTAGAAAAGAAAAAAAGAATTAAGATGTGTTATGCATGTGCATCAACTCCACATAGGGAATGTAAACATTACGTATGGAAGACATGTAGTAATAAAAAAATAAAAATAATAAAGTATTCCTGTCTGAAAGCCCATGGAACTCTTGCTATGATATTGGGGCTTTCTCACCTGGGGGTCAACCGAGATTTAGCAGAGGTTCATTTTGTCTTCTGAAGACCGAAATGAGAAGAAGCCGAACCAAATCCTTCCTGAGGGATATCTAGGGGTCTAGAAGAGTCTAAGGTCCTCCCTCCTGCAGGGGGAAAGGGCAGGCTGTCCCTGGGCCAGAACCGGGACTGACTGGAGTTACAGGCATCAGATAATCCCTTAAGTCCAGGCCTGTCCTCTTCAACCATCTCTCTTTTATTTGGTGCTTTAATTTCCACCCAAGCACAAAATACCCTCTTTCTACCCCGGGCGCCTCAGGGAAGACACCTGTAGGTGTCTAAGGGGACCTGGTGCTACCAGGTTGGGAGGGATTAGAAGCGGCCACCCAGAGGTGGGGCTTCTGAGCCCTGCCCTACCATCTGGTGGGGTTCAATACAATGATGGGCGGAGCCTCAGGAGGTGGGAGCTTGCACTTCCTGTTTTGGGGAGCACTTCTGTTTGGAGCCCTGAGCTGTCATGCAGTGAAGTCAGTTATACCTAGCTGTGTGAGTGAGCTCAGCAGATGCTGCCTGGGGAGAAAAAGCCTGCTCAGTCCATCTCTCCAGCCTGGCCAGTCCAGGCAGCAGACACACAGGTGATGGAGGCCTCCGGGCTGCAGCCCTGGGCGCCCCCGGATCTCTGTAGGTGGGAACCACCCGGAGGAGCCCAGTCAGCCCAGAAAACCGAGAAAGGGAATGCCACATTTTCTTTAGCAAGTTAGTTCAGAGGTGTCTTGTTTTGCAGCAGAAGGTAACTAGAAATCAGTACCAGATTTCACCCCAAAGCATCCCATAAAGAAGGGGTTGGCCAGAGAAGGAGATTTAGAGAAACCAGAAAGAGCCAAGCTTGCCATGACAAAACCACAAACCAAAAAGTGAGAGTTGGTACTTTGTTTGTTGTTCTTGCTGCTGCTGCTTCTGCTGGTGTGTGTGTGTGTGTGTGCGTGTGTGTGTGTGTGTGTGTGTGTGTGTGTTGTAGGGGATTGAACTCAGGGCCGGCACTCTGTGCTACATTCCCCAAACCTCCTTTTTAAAAAGAATCTCCCTAAATTGCCTGGGGGGGGGGCGGCGGCTAGAACTTATGATTCTTCTGTCTCAGCCTCCCAGGGTGTTGGAATTACAGGCATGCGCCGCCACACCTAGCTTGTTGCTTTTCTTGGCATTTATTTCTTTATGTTTTAATTAAATAGAAAGACCTTTTAAACATACACACTATTCTGTGGGAGTCATGATTATGCTTCATAATTGTCCTTGATCTGAGGTCGCCGCCTAATGAGCATTTAGGGTCTAAGTGCCCGTATAATGTTGACTCAGTTAATCCTGCGGGTCCTTATTTTACAGGTGAGGAAATCTAGAGTCGGTGAGGGAAGTCGTGAGCCAGCACCCACCTGGGCTGGAAGCGCTGGCCCCACCTCCGCAGGGTCTCAGGCTGCAGCGCGGCCTCCGCCTGCCTCATCTTCCCGGGGTCCGGCAGCACTAGCAGCAGCAGGGCATTGCCGCTGTATTCGATCTGGAGCACGGTGCACGCCACCTGCTGGTCGTAGAGGAACCTGTGCATCTCCCGCTGCTGCATCATGGGCACGCGCAGCACGGTCCTCTCGTCCGCTGAGAAGCGCTCCTGCTTCCGGGTCTGGTAGCCGTCGAAAGGATGCTTCCACTTGGCTGGGGACGCAAGAGCCGAGACACTGTGAAAAGGGGTTCCCAGGGAGGGAGTCCCCAAGGCCACGCGGGGAGGTGACTTCCTCCGGGGGATGTAAGTGGCCTGGATATAGGGCCGGCTCGAAGCTGGACCAAGTCGCCGGACCCAAAGCTCCTTTGGCCTAGGATGCTGTCCCGTTTCCGGGGAATTTAGCTCTTCACAGGTCACACACGGTGTCTTTGTCTACTACACACCCGTCCTGTGAGAGCCACGGGGAGAAAGGGCCGCAAGGAGAAAGGAGACTGGGGCTGAGGGGCGCCCAGGAAGGGATCACTCTTCCTGCAATCTGGCCCCATCCCACCTCCAAAAGTACTGGTCTTGGTGCAGGTGGCGGGCACTGAGTCACCCAGCCTCTGTGCCCATGCCCCATCAATGATCCTGTGCTGTCACGCTACCTACAAAGCCACGGCTTTTTCAAGGTCACCATCGCACTGCCTTTTGAGAGCTTCTTAATACGTCATTCCTCTTCCAGTCTTACTCTGACCTATTTTCCAAACTGCAGCTAGACTGGTCTAATTTTTTTTAAGGTGGGTCTCACTGTGTTTCTCAGGCTGATCTCAAATTCCCAGATTCAAGTGATCCTCCTGTGTCAGCCTCCCAGGCAGCTGGGACTATAGGCACATATCACTGCACCTGGCCAGATTGATCCTTCTAAAACAGAGGCAGGGTGGTTTTCTACTGCTTAAGACTCAGCAGTGCTGCAGCTCCTCAGTATGGTCCTTGTTTCCTCAACTTTGCAACCCTTGGAACTTTCCCCGGGCTTCCTGCATTGCCTCCTAGTCAAACTCAGTCAGCTTTGGTTCTTTGAGAATGCAATGGTCTCTCTTTTCCCTGGTGTTTTGTTGAACCCAGACCTCTTCTCCCGCCTCTTACACAGCCTGTTCACCTGCTTTGACCCACCCCTTTCTTCCTGTCTCTGCTCGACCTCCTCTTCCAGGAAGTCTTCCCTGGCTCCCTGAGCCTGGAAGAGGCCCCCATGACACCCCAACCTGCACAAGGTCACCATCAGTATCTTCTGAGCTGTGTGGCCTCTTATTTCCAAACCACATGAGATCTGAGCACACAAGGGCAGGAAAACTGCCTCATTCCTAGATGTTCCCAAGAGGCCACCCAAACCCTGGGCTGTGGCAGAGCCTTCAGCTGTTCCTGCAGTGAGAGTGCTCGCTCACAGAGAGGGCAGCCCTGGTTCTGTTGGAGCAAGTCCTCACCTTTGAAGAAGATGTAATTCAAGAAAACCGTGTGCGTGTTGTGGCCCAGCTCCTGGAAGCAGTCGGCGACTTGCCCGTAAGTCTGCTTTCTCACGAACTCGTTGATCTGCCTCCCGGTTGTGGCAGCATCTGTGAAGTTGGCAGAGAAAGCCAAAGCTCCATACAGCTCCTTGACACTGTCCAAAAAGTGCTGCTGAGGCTTCAGCTGCTTGTCTAGGAACAAAGAGTTTCCCACCTTTAGTTCGAGTTTGGGGCTGGGCAAGTTGAGGGTGTGCAGGAGCCGCTGGAAGCCCTGGTGGATGTCGGCACTTGAGGTCTCTGTGAGGTTGAAGCCGAGGCCCTCCAGGATCTCAGGCTGGGTGTCCCCTTGGGCCCCGAGGGCCAGCAGGGCCAGGGCGCTGGAGAGGCCCACAGGGGAGAAGAGGATGTTTCCTGGGGTGTGTGCCGCCAGCTGCTTATACAGACGCAAAGCAAAGCTGGTAATGGTGGGAGCAACTTTGTGGTAGGCAGGAGCAACTTTGTGGTAGGCAGGAGCTGGCTCTGCAAGCTTGTGACCGGGGGGCTGAGGCACCCCGGGGCTTTTATCTCCATGCGCAGGAAAGGGCTGACAGTGGACAGAGGCCAGGACCCCGGCTCCCAGCAGCCACAGCCAAGCTGGGCCCATTCTCTGAAAACAAGATGGCAGACATGTCACGTTTCATGAATGACTTCATCATTCCCTGTTATTCACACAATGACCCCAGCACTCCAGCTGTATCCCAAGAGATGCCATGGGCCCACTACAGAGAACAAGATGTGGAGGAGAGCCTAGAACTCTGGACACAGAACTTCCAGGGCTTGGTCAGAGCTGTGGCCATTCAGCTGCTCCACATGCTGACAGATTTTGTTCAGTAAAAGTCTCTGGTCTGTAAATAAACTAGTTTCCCCTTCCCTTCCCTTTCCTTCCCTTCCCTTCCCTTCCCTTCTCCTTTATCCCTCCCTTCTTTCCCTCCTTCCTTCCTTCCTTCCTTGCTCCCTCCCTCTCTCCATTCCCTTTTTTATTTCTTCTTTCCAGTTATGTTTAATCATAACTTCACAGATCTGTCTGGTCCATGAAGTATTCTTAAGTACTGGATATCTAATGGAGGAAGAAGGAAACATGATTCCTGACTTCATAGAATGCTACAAGCAGTTGTTCTGGACACTGGACAGTGAGGGATGCTGGGCTCCCAAAACTCAGCCAGCCCTGGCCATGAACTATGAGGAAAAGGGAGATATGCAAAGCCTCCTTGGGCCCCATGGGCAAGGGGAGGGCCTCTATTCTTCCAGCCTTCCACCAGCTGGATCATGGCTGTGATGGTCATCCGTCAGGGCCTCTCGGATGAAGCTAGCCCAGAAGGACAAAGACACAGGATTAATGAATGGGTCCTGGAAGGAGAGGTGACAGACAGGTCACTCTGTCTCTGTGACTCCATCAAGCCACTGTTACCTGGGATGATACACACTGCTGCGTCCAGTGGCTGAAAGCTCTCCCTGCATCCATGCAGGGCTTTAGAAAAGGTGTTTGTTAGGGATCAAACTGTCTCTTCCCAAAACTCATGCTGAACCCCCAGCCTCTGTGACCTTGGAACGAAACCTTGCTTGGAAGTGGGGTCCCTGGAGAGGTAGTTAATGAAGCCACTGGAGCAGGCACTTAGCCCACTGTGACTGGCGTCCTTATAAGAAGGGGGACTTTGGACACAGATGCATGGAGAACACCGCGTGAAGATGAAGGCAGAGCAGAGGAAACTTTGCAGCCTGAGAAATGCCAGAGATCACAGGACGAGAAGCCCTGGAAGAGACCCGGATCAGACTTTCCTCTTGGCCTGCCCACACCTTGATCTTGGACCTTCAGCTTCCAGAAATATTTTGTTGTCTAGTGCCCCCCAGTGACGGTCAAGACTACCCCTGCAAGTTAATAGGGTGACCGGGTGCTGTCCCGAGGTAGAAGATGGGCCTGCAGAGCCTCCAGCCACCTCTGGGGGCAGCGTGGTGCAGGCCCAGGAGGCTCCTGGCTTCAGGGCCCATGCAGGCAGGGAAAGGAGCTATGTGGCTGCCTGTGTTCTCCCACCTGTGTCTTCCGTTCCCTTTCAGGTGCCCCCACACACCTCCAAAGCACCACAGTGGACGCAGTGCCACCTGGACCCTCCACACCCTGGTGTTTTCCTGCTCCCCTCGAAACTGATCCTTCCACTGTGGCCACACACTGCCCACCACCTGATCAGTGTCACCAGCTCGTCCTGAAAACACTGCACGAGAGTAAGCAGCTTTCATACTCTCTGCCGGAACCAGTGAGCTCTGGATGAAGGGCAGCTGTGCCACCGAGTGGCAGAGAGCACCCTGCTGGAAACAGCTCCGAGCCCCCAGTGCCCTGAACATGCTGCCCAGCCACAAGGCCAGCCGCCAGGAAGGGACGGGTGTCCTCTGCTTGCCCCTGGTGTTGAAATTCGGTTGCAGGTCGAAGTGCAGAGGACACTTTCCGGAGATTGTCTCCTCCCTCGCGCACAGCTCTGTGTGGATGGCTTAGTGACAATTCTTTCAGGAAAATCCTGGAAGATGCAGAACCGTTTAAAACTTGGTCTGGCCCAGGTAAAACGAGAAATGCGACTGTGATGAAACTATTCCTGAGGTGCTCTTGTGATCCTGTTAAACTTGGCCCATTTCCCACCCGACTGCCCCCCGAGGATCCCAGGTCTACCCAGGATCTGTTTCCCAGAGGACCCAGCTATAGACAAGAGCCTGGGTTTCTGTGAGTAACACTGTCTTTGAAACTCAGTACCTCTTTTCAAAAAATGCAGATGAGATGTCTGCTTCCTAGGGCGGGGTCGCTGAAGGGTAAGTGACAATCACGGTATAAACCCTGGCACAGAAAGGACTCAGGGGAGTTTGCTTCCCTTTTCACCAAGGCTGGGCACGATGATATCCAATTCACTTCTTAGCTCTTATTCCTGGAAGATTCCAGAAGAAAATTAAGAACCATATTCATTAGTGTTAGTGTTCCCATTTATTAAGCGTTTGTTAAAGTGCCGGGGATACTGGATACATTGTAAATGTGGCAGGAGGCGCATGTGAGAGGGGATGGGTGGTATTTCCAGCCATCTCTGCCGCTGGCGCTTAGTAGGTGACTCAACCCCGGGAAAGCTCTGGAGACACCCAGCAGAGTCACTCGTGCTGAGGAGCAGCCCCATGCAAGGGGCCCCTTCCTGGAGAAACACTCGCTTTGGGTTGTTTTGGTTAACCTTAAGACTCTTAAGGCACAGGGATTCTCATCCCTGTTGTATAGGTGGGGAAACCGAGACTCAGGGTCAGGACAAACACCTGGTAAGAAGCAGGACCAAGATTGAGTCCAAGATTTAGGGGGCTTTTGAGCAGGCCCTGGTCACGTACCCGAGCTCCTAGGAAATAGGGTCGTTTGGCTCTGGGTTGTTTGTTCTGTGCTCTCATCGGCTCACCAGGGATATTTAGGTTTCCTCTCCCCACATTCGGAAGGCTGAGTTTCCCCGAAGAGGCTGTTGACCACCGGAAGTTCCACCTTCAAACTGCAAGGCAGCCCTCTCGCTCTTCTTCTGCAGGGAACCACTTCTCCCACCCCCGTCTCTAAATCAAGAGAGAGGTGATGGACGGACGGACGGGCGACAGACAGATGAGCTGGAAGGAGGAGCAGCTGCCGCCCACTGCCCAGCACAGATACTCATGGAGCCACTCAGCACAGCCCTCGGGACAGTGGCCTCTGAGGGTCACAGCAGCCTCGTCAGTGTTTGTCAGGTCGATTCTTGGCACTGGTGCGAAGACAGCACAGCCAATGGGGAGGGATTTTTTTTTTTTTCCGGTGTCTGTCCCTCCCTGCTGCCCAGCATTCAGGATGCGCCTGGGTCAGGATGTTCTGGCGAAGGCACGGGGCCGGATGCAGTGGCTGCCGGCTGTGTTCCCTGCTTTGTGGCATCATCACCCTCGAGTTGAGGATGTGGGAGAGGGACAGCTGTCTCTCCTTCACAGGGGGAAGGTGAAGATGGATCCATGCCAAGCCCCCACCCCATACCATTCCAACCCCGCACTTTACTGACCCTTTGAATAAAAATAGTCCAAGGAGGCCCTGAGATGGGGAGACAAAGGCAAAGAGGGGACTGTAGGCCCTTCAGGAAGTACGCAAGATCTCCCCTCCTGCCGTGTTGAGAGCCCCGTGAAGGGGCATCAAGGGGTCCTGTGGCCCACATCCCCTGACATTTAGAAAGAAGCCAGGAACTAAGTGGATATTTGTTTCTGAGCATCTCTGGATGGTGGGATGGAGTTAACTTTCATGTTCTTCAGTATGGGTTTTCATGTTCTCCAAATTTCTTAGAGTGAATACACATCTTGTTCGTAACAATAAAACATCACTGTTAATAAGTAAAATCATTTACTTCTCGAAGAACCACTTTTCTTTCTTTTTTAGAGGGATGCTGGGAATTGAACCCAAGGCCTCAGGCATGCTAGGCAAGCACTTTACCACTGAGCTACATCCAAAACCCTCCAAGGGGCACATGTAAAGCATAAAGCAGCTGAGGTCAGGTGACAGGATCTGGTTGTGCTGGGGGAGGGGAGATGCCTATGGGTCCATAGTTGTCAGACTCTCCCTGATTGTCTAAAGCAGCTCCCATGTGGAAACCCTCATCTGATCCTGAATTCTTTCAGTTTTGTGCTTTCTTACCTGCTGCCCAAGTGGCTGACATCTTAAAAACTTGACTCGGATTTTTGACTCACAATATCATGAGAGCTACTCATGGTTGCTGCTCTAAGTTTTGTTAGCAGTGCACAGGTAAAATGATGCTTGGCTCTGGTCACCAGCACATGGCATGTCCTTATTTTTTGCTCTGGTGCTGGCTAAACCGTCCTGTATACCTGAGCGGCTCCACACTGGTCTGCTGGGTGAGGTGAATGTCGGCTCCTACAGAGACAGTGGGGAGTTTGGGTCCTGGCTGGGCACTGGGAAGCCTCCTCTGAATTATAGGGTTACGGGAGCACTGAGCGGGACACGAGGCTTCTGAAGCGTTAGGATAAAGGGCATATGTTGCAACTGTGCTTCAGCTGGCCTCAGAGCAAGCTGGTGTCACTGGGGACAAGGACAGACAGCTTTGCTCACTGGGGTGCTGTCTGGATTGGGGAAGGGGCTGTGCTGCTCTGGGTCCCTTCCGCAGAAGGAAGGAGGGCAGGCAGGGGGCACTGGGGACCCTCTGCCCTTCTGCACTTGGGGTAGATGTGGCAAATCCATCCAGAAGCTCTTCTGTCCCAGAGCAGGGGTGGTACTGGCTTTTTAGCAAGACCATGCTGCCAGTTTCCCGGGTTATCCCAGAAAATGGAGCCACTTGCAGCAGGACCAGCATGGAGGGTGGCAGTGCCTCAGGGTGGGTGGAGGTGACAAGGAGGTTTCATCCACGTGGAGGAGGGGGGTGCAGCGTGGGAAAGGGCCACAGAGCAGGGAAGCTGAGGATGCGGCTCCTCGGCAAAGTCCCTTTCCCAGTCCCAGTGTCCCCAGATGGTACAGCACTTGAGGAGGCGCCAGAGGGGAAGGGTGAGGTTTGAGGCTGTGTGCTGATATCACCCAACCAGGCCCTCCTGCCCCTTGTGCAGAGAGAGGCTCCCACAGTACCCAGCCCAGGGCTCGGAGAGGCACTTGGGGCCCAGAGTCATCTCCAGGTGGCCCCCGGAGTCGCATGGCCTAGAAGGGAACCTCAGCCTCCTCATCTGGAAGGAGGGAATCGGATCTGTTTTGTAGGTGGCTCTAGAACTAGCTGCCATAAGGCGCGCAGTGGGCACCCGACACGCACGGCCTGCTGCCGGTGTAGTGTTCTCTGCAGTTCTGACTCTCCTGGCAGCCGATGCTGTTGGAGAAATCTGAGGTGCCCAGGGAACCATCTCACCTTACCCCCAGAATCTCCCTGCAACTCATGCCCCACTGTCCAGAGCAGATGGCTGCTCTGAGTGCTGCTTGCCAGGCTCTGATCCCCAAGGCCTGGTCCCTAGCGGCCACCTCGGCCATTGTCTGGGACAGCGTGGGCCCAGCCTCCTGGGGGGGACCCCCACTCCCTGCCTGCTGCTGGGGCCTCCCCCGCTTTCACTTCTCCAGTGCCTGCTCTGGCTGTGGCCTCTCGCCAACCCCTGTCTCCTCCACCACCTGCCCCCTGGCTTGTGCCATCAGCATCCTCCCTGTCCCCTGGTTCTAGCCCAGGCACTGCCCACTTATTCTGCGCTCTGAAATCTCTTTGTCCCCGACCTCAGGCCCTCAGGGAGAGCCCCTCCTACAGCACTTCCAGGATGCCCTTCTGGTGCCTGGCCCACCTAGCATTTCACCTGCCTTGGAGCTTTGCACTTAAGCCAGAGTGAGTAACTTTGAGGAGCAGCACACCCTGCTTCTCCTCTGCACACTCTTGTCCCTTGGCCCTGTCTCCAGTCCTCCTCTTTCTCAGGCAACAGCAGCTCCTGCCCACTGTCAGGGTTCAGCTCAGACCTCTCCTTGAGGAAGCCTTTCCTGGCAGCTGTGCTCTCTCCTTCCATCTCAGCTGGGTTAGGTTCTCCTCCTGGGAGCCCCCACCATACCTGGTGCTCACCTCTCTTATCAGGCTGGCTTCCTAAATCCTCTGCTTTATTTATTTCCTGCCTATAAAATCTTTGCTGAAAGAAGCCGGACATAATCCATGATGATATCGGAGGCCAGCACACAGCAGGCACATCCGCGGCCAGCACGAGTGCGCTCTATTCCCCTGTGATCTCCGTAGGGAGACAACCTAAGTTTCCACCAAGGAGCAGCCTGTGCCACTACCTCCCACGTCGGGGCCACCTGGAGAGCAGGGCTGAGATGCAGGAGGGTGGAGGTGTAGCTTCCCGACCTACCCCCGCCCATATGCTTCTGTGGTGATGGGCAGCAACAGTGGTGCCCTGTGCTGAGCAGAGTCCCTCCCCCAGTGGGCAGCCCTCCACCACCTGCTTCGCGTCCATCTTCCCTACCATCACGCAAGGCGGTACTATTAGGACCGCCCCCTGTTGGGAGATAAGGAACCAGGTACAGAAGGTCTGTGTCTCACCCACGGCCACACGCCTGGAGGGACCACGTCGTGTCTGCCTGGCACCACAGCGGTGCCCCTAACCCAGAGCTCCCCGGCCAGTGACTTCCTATCTTTGGTAATAGATCCTGGACTAAACAGCCAGTAGCAAACTCAAAGGCTTTGGAAAATTCTTTAAATGCTTCCTCTTGTCTTTAGTAATTATATTATTGTCAAGAATGGCAACATCGACATCCTTTCTTACACAACTTTTCTTTTTTTTTAGTTTCGTGACACAGAGAGTTTTTACTTTTGGTTTCGGCTAATAAACCCAGCCTTGCAGGGTTTCATTTGCAAGCTGGACTCTGGAGCCATTTGCCATGGGGTCCTCTGGGTCGTGGCAGAGGCATTTTGTCAACAGAGACCAGCCACACACCAGGGACTGAAAAGGGACCCCGGCCTGTGGACAGTTCTGAGCTGTGAGTGGAGAGAGGATGCTTCAGGGGACAGAGAGGGGAGACAGTGGTGGGGCAGCCTTCAGGACGAATGCCCACCTTCCTTCCAACTCCCTGAAAATGAGCTAGACAGGGATATATTTGGTCTACAACTTGCCTGATGCAGGTGACAATGAGAACAGTGTGAACAATGTGAATGGGTAGTATTCACTGGACCCTGACCACCAGTGATTTCCTAAGCACTGTCTGTGTTACTCCCATGACAACCTAATGACATAGGAGCTGCGGGTTTGCGGAGGAGGGAAGTGAAGAAGAAGGAGATTAAGCAAAGTCCGTGAGGTCGCAGTTAGGCAGCAATAAGGCTTGGTTTCCAACCTGGGATCTGAGGCTGGAGACCTTTTGAAGTCCTCCTTCGCGAGCTTAGTGCTTTTGTCCCTTGTCCCATGCTGTGTAACTGTCTTGCATGTGAGGTCCTTGATGCCACACACCCTTGCTGTGCCTGTGCTCTGTGGGCCAGGGACACAGTTGGGGCGACCGAACTGTGTACGAACCGGTACCCAGGTGATGCTCTTGATCCCCATAGTATCTTCAGCTTTTTGCTCTGGAACTTAGTGAAAGGCCCTCCCGGGCCATTGCCCTTGCAATAGCTCTTTTCTCCTCCTCCAGAGCCAGGCAGGATGAGCTGTGATGATGAACCCCAGCCTCCACGCTGACTCTGCTCCATAGCATGTGCTCAGTTCAACTAAACACCGCAGACGGATTGCCTGGGCTGTGGTGTGTCAGGTAGAGAACTCACCTCCACTCAGAAAACCTACACACCTGTGCCTGGGGTGATTGGCCCACAATGTCTGGGACGCACCTTGAAACACTCCTACACAGATGTGAAGGGGCCTGGTTGCTTTTGTTTACATTCCAGAGTGGTTCCTCTACAGCCTTGAGGCTGGTGACTGAGCAGAGACCCTGCAGGGCTCCTTGGTGTTGGAAAGATACTCTGCAGAGGCAGCAGCTGCAGATAAGGCTGCCTAGAGACCCTAGTAAGTGGCTAAACAGAGAGAGATTTTCCACCCATGAAATGATGGAGGTGTAAAATGTGTGGCTCTGCTGGAAACACTGCCCGGGGGCCTCTGGTCTGCTGCCAGAGTCTGCTGCCCTGGACTCAGGATTCTTGACCTATTTTTGTGTGTATTTGTTTGTATGGATGCCCTTTGCAGGTTTTATCACCTGGCTCTCACCAGGTGAGGTGAATCCAACTTTTGAATATTGTCATTCTGCCTGGAGTGAAATGCTCATACCACACTGTGATAATCATTCTTAATATCCTACATTGATGATTTGTCATCTTGAAGTCATGGGCCAAACTAATAGCCACTGTTGTTCCCTCTCTCCCTCTCTCTCTCTCCCTCTCCCTCTCTCTCTCTCTCTCCCTCTTTTTCTCTCCCTCCCTCCTCACCCTGAAGTGATGGGAAGTGAACCCAGGGCCCTTTCACTAAGCTACATCCCCCCTTTTTTATTTTGAGACAAAATTGCACTCATTTGCACCAAGCTAGAATTTGTATTCCTCCTACCTTGGCTTCCCAGGATGCTGGGATTACAGGCATGCGCTACCACTCCCTTGACAAACCCTCACCCCCAGCTCCACATTTCTTTTTTTAATTTTTTGTTTTATTTTATTTTTATTAGTACAGTTTTTGATACATAATGATCATATTCAGCACAGGGAATTTGTACCTGTACAAAATATCTTTCATAATGTATCTTAACATTCTTTTTTCCCATTTCTCTACCCTCCATTAACCCCTTCTCCCTCTCCCCATTTACAAAAACTTTGGTTCTAATTTCATTCTCTTTCTAATCTCTTTTCCGTTCCCCTCCCCTCCCTTGTTCCCTTCCCATTTGAACAAGTTCTTCCTATTTCCCAATATCTAGCCTTAATTTTGCTCCTTATTTATCCTTTGGGTTTCTCACACAAGAGAAACAATGTGATATTTAAACTTGTGTATCTGACTTATTTCACTTAAAATTGTGGTTTCAAGATGCATCCATTTGCCTAAAAATGTCTCAAGTGTATCCTGCTTTATTGTAGAGTATTACTCTGTTGCATATAGATACCACATTTTCTTTATCTGTTCATCTGTTGATGGGCTATGGGATGTTTCCAAGATTTAGCTATTATAAATTGTGCTGCTCTAAACATGGCTATGCATGTATCACTGTGGTATGATGCTTTTAACTGTTTCAGGAAGATACCTAGAAGAGGAATAGCTGGGTCAAATGGGACCTCTAGTTTTAGTTTAGTTCAGTTTTTTTATTGGTACTGGGGATTGAACTGGGGACCTTGCACTTTCAAGGTAGGCGGCGGCACCACTGAGCTAAATCCCCAGCCCTAGTTGTAGTTTTTTTTTAGGAATGATCATATTGATTTCCATATTGGTTGTACCAATTTACACTCCAACCAATAATGGAGAAGGGTTCCTTTTTCTCTATAGCCTCACCAGCAGTGACTATTGGTTGATTTCTTTATGATAGCCATTTTTTCTAGAGTAAGATGGAATCTCAGTGTTGTTTTAATTTGCATTTCTCAACCAGTGATGTTAAACATCTTTTTTATATATTTATTTGGTGTTTGTACTTTATCTGAGAAGTATCTATTTATTTCAGATACTCATTTTTGGATTAGGTCTTTAAATTTGGAGGGTCTGATTTTTTTGAGTTCTTTATATATTATAGATATTAGTCCTTTGTCTGATGAGTAGCTGGTAAACAATTTTTCCCACCATGTCCTAAATTAAAATTGAAATGGATCAAAGATCTAAATATTAAAACAGAAACACTCCATCTGCTGGAAGATAGAATAGGTAAAACTCTTGAAGACATAAGTGTAAACAAAGATTTTATGAACAAAACTTCAACTGCACAGAAAATATTATAAAGAATCAACAACTGGGATCACATCAAATTAAAAAGCTTTGCACAATCCCCGGTACCAAAAAAAAAAAAAAAAAAAAAAATCTTTGCACAGCAAAAGAAACAGAGTGAAGAGAGAGCCTTTTTATAACCCCTCCAACTATAAGCCTCAAGTTCAGTTTCACCTCCCACCCTGTAGGGGGCAATTCCACCCCTTCCCTCCCACTGCTGAAGCCCCAGAGGCTCATTCCTTCCCACCTCCCCTGGCCCTCTTCCTCCTAAATGACCTGGTGCTCCCAAGTGGCCCTGTGTGGGGTAATGTGCCTCCTCCTCTTGGGTAATCCAAGTGACAAATGTTTCTCCAAAAGCAGTTTACTCTGGCTGATGTCTTACTGTCCCTGATTACAGTGGATTTCAAAACTAAGATGAGATACATTTGAAAACAGATCAAGAGAAGCGTCTCAGACAACAGCAAGCAGAGCCTCCTCCGCAAGGGAACCTGGTCTGTGGCTGAGTCTGCACCTGCTGGCTGACACATGTCCCAGCAAGTAGCACTTGCCTGCAGCTGTAATGTCACCTGCGAGAAGGTTGGGGAGGTGGTGGTCCTCTCCCATCCCACCTTGGGGCTTCCCAGGGTTACTCCAAAGGATGTACTCTGAGTAACTCAGGTGTCCCCAGCCAGTTCTTCAGGCCTGCTACTCCCTTTGTGCCACTGAGCATGGAGGCTTGTGTGGCTGAGTGTGCTCCTGAGAGGGAGGGTGGCTTGTTCTCCTCTGTGACTCCCATGGAGGAAGCTCAGTGGTGACTGCAGCTTCCCGTGGCTGGGCTCTGCTCCTGCTTCTAATCCTACCCCAGCCATCCCACAGCCTGGACCAGTTGTCTGTCTTCCCGCTTGGGGTCCCTGCTGGGCTCCTCATGGACCAGACAGAGTAGGGGGTGCGTGAGGGGATTCAATGCCTCTGAAGTTTCTGCCAGCTCCCCAGCATAACCCCTTGCGCTCTATTCCTTTCCATGTGAAAGAGCGTGGGAAAGTCAGTGTGAACCCCAGATGGCACACTGGATGGGGGTGTCAGTGCCCCTAGGGAAGGAGTTTCTGGGCCTTTGGGTGCCTGGGCATCGCTGGCAGGAGACATCGTCCAGTGAGAGATGATGGGGCCACCTGGCAGAGGGTCAAGAGCAATGGTGAAGATGACTCACAGAGCATAAGCTGCCTCTCTGCCTAGGTGTCGCCATGGACTATGGCACTGACTGTGGCTCTCCGGACACAGAAAAGGGAGCCAGACTGTTGTCACTACAAGCCAGCAGGGAGGAGCTGAGCTCAAAGAGGGCTGTGTGCACATGAGCATGTGTGACAGTGTCAGTCAGGAAGGTGGCCAGAACTAGGGGACCCACACAGCCCATCCTCAGGCCCTTGTCATTTTCCTACTTGAGGTGTCCAGCTGGCCTTCTGCTCCCCACCCCCAAGCCCAGACTACTTTCATTGGCCACCATGCCCTCCCCACATGAATCCACCTCCCTATACCTGTGTGTCTCAGCTTCTGCCATTCTATGTGTGACACAGGATGCTCCAGGCAAAGCATCTTCTTTCTGCCCCTTCTGATACCTCCACTTGCTCCTGGCTCATTGCCTTTGTGCTCACACAATACTGCCCTGCCCTCTTGTGACTCCTCCTCAAATCCTGTGAGATGCATTTGAGGCATGTCTCAAATCTGCTGAGATCCTGCTCATGTGTGGGTTTCCTTCTATTGTTCTTGGGTGACCTGTCGTGTCCATTCAGATCCAACATGCATCTAACTGACTCTCTCCTAACACACAGTAAATGCTTAATAGGTTGTTATTTAACAGATGAAGAATGAATTCACACAACTGCTGAAATGTCCTGGGGTGGCATCAATCAGATCAGGACCCTGTGAGTACAAGGGAGTCCTGTTGCAGCTAACTTCACATTTGAGGTTTCTGACTGTATTACTGTAATTCTGCAATAAAAGCACCTGGTCAGTACAGCATCCTTCTGGGGCTCTGAGGAATGGAGCTAGGCCAGCCTAGCTGCACTCCTCAAAGCTGGTGGAGGGCTGACAGAAAGGGCCACTTGCTGGGTTCCTGGGCTTGGGCTTGGAACCAGGACCTCTGTTGTCAGTTTGACATTGTGCCTTGGAGCAGGCATCCCCATCACAAACACAGCTCTGCTGGGGTGAGGTGGACCCTTAGGCCAGGAGGAGATGGATCTCAGTGTCACCCTGGGAGTGCAGGCAGTGTTGCTGGTTATTTCCTGTGCATCTTTATTAGTGTACAATCAGTCAACAGGTCAGGTCCCACCTAGGCTTTAGTAGGATTCTCAACTTTCCCTATGAAGAGAATAGACTTTGTGCCTTTATACAGAAGCATCAGCAGGAAGGGCTTGTCGAGGCGTAAGACAGGAGAAGAGGGCTTATCCTTGGACCGGACTATGACCTTGGTGGCAGTGGCTGCTACAGCTTCTGTCCCCTCCTCACCGATGTCCAGCACAGCCTTGTGAGTGGCCTGATGAGAGAAAAACAAACACCGGTGGCTCCCATGGTGACACTGTTACCTGGGCTGGGTATACCAAAGACTGGTGCCTTCTTGTCTTCCAGGGAGGAGGTTCTTGACCTGGGACCCATGTGCTCCTGAGCTTCAGTGCGGCTGGAGACTTTCTGTGACTACTGGCATGATTTTCCATAGGGGCACATAAGTCTTTCCTTTGGGAAAAGGTTTATTGTGCTCGTTCTATTTCAGTGGGACATATTTTGCATTCCTTTCCTGGGGACCAATGAGAAAAGTTCCTTTCGGTGGCCCTCAGACTACTACTGACGATTATAATCCATTATCAAATTAAAATTTTAGGTCAAGAATCAGAAGGCTGTATATGGACAGGGACAAGTCAAGTAACTCCAGAGGTGGGTTCACTGTTGCCTTGGGGATTTCTCCCCCCCCCCCCAGCATTGCAGACTAAACGCCATGTCTACTGTGGTCATGGGCAGCCCCTTGGTGTCTGTGGGGACTGAAACTGTAGGAATAAAAGAAGTGAGGTCAAATGCCTAAGGCAAAGCCAAAGGTGGGCCTTGAGAATGTTTGAAGAAGGGTGAAATGTGCCTTAGGTAGGAGGTATGGTGGCCATAGAGTCACAGGCCTGGCAGCTGTGGAACTTGGCCTTTCTGCAGGCCACCAAGAAATCTTTCTACCTCATGGGCCTCTATTTGCACATAGATGAAACGAAAGCCCTTCACTCTCCACCAGCCAATTCTATGGGCATTTCCAGCATGGGCTTTCTACAAACTCCCCCATCAACTCACTTTGGAAACTTGCAGAAAGCCTGCCTTTGTAATTCCAGAAAAATCAGCATTTTTGCCAAAGGCATCACGGATACCCATCTTTGGGAGGATGGTTTCCAGGTCGTAGGAGGCAGAAATAGAAAATTTGGGGATGAAGACCTCTATCTGCCTGTGGAGAAGGGAGAAGGAAAAGGTGAGGTTGAAGCCCCTGGTATGTCCATCTTTCCTTCTAGGTAGCATCTCAGGAGACTCTGCTGTTCCTCCAGGTGCTGTTCATTGCTGCTAAAGGGGTTCACATATCCCAGCCCACCTCCCAGCTAAGCAAGTCCAGCACCAAAGACATGCAAAAAGACCAATGGGTTCCGTAGTGAAATAGGGGACAGAAATGAGAAGGTGGCCCAGCAAGAGAGCCTAAGGCAGAGACCAGTGGAAGGCATCAGATAGTGATGGGATTCATCTAAACCCCCTGCTGGAGGCTGCCCCAGCAGGCCTTCCTGAACCCTAATAATCCCTAGAGGAGCCAAGTCCAACAGAACACCCAGTGTTGGCAATATTTCTATCCCTGCATTGCCCAATATGGCAGCCATCAGACCACATTTGGCAACAGAGCAAGCCGAAAGGTCGCCAGCACAAGTGAAGAGATAAATCTTTTTTTTTTTTTTTTTGTACCAGGGATCAAACTTAGGACCTTGTGCTTGCAAAGCAGGCACTGGAACCACTGAGCTAAATCCCCCACCCTGATAAACTTAATTTTACTTCACTCGAACTTAAATAGTTACGCACAGTGGTGGCCACAATGTTAGACAGCATGACCCTAAAACTGGCATGATGTTTTCTTCCTCTGCACCAGTTTCCCCGAACCAAGAGCAAATCGCCTGTAAGTACTGAGGATTCGCTACATCCCAGACTCTGTCCCGGCCTTGTTCAACAATAGTTCTCTCCACTTACAGATGGGAAAGCTTAGTCCTAGTGCAAAAATGAAAGCACAAAAGTGTCCAAGAAACACCTTTCAGTTCTCATCCGAAAAGCCTCTCGTGACTCAGTGGACAGCTTCCCCCCCCCCATACTGTCCCCTGTTTTGGCGCTGGCATCTCCATTCTCTCTGGGGGTCCCTGCTGCTCTGTGCTTCATCCTCCTGCAGCCCCTGTTGCTTTGCTTCCTTTCCCCCAGCCCTGTGCTGTCTGAGATGAGAAGAAACTCCTGAAGTGGCCGGCAGTACCTCTGGGTCCCTGGCTGCACATCTCTGCCTGTGGGTTTCCTTTACCAAAAATGCCCTTCCAACCTCTGTGTGTTCATGCTGCACCCATACTTAAATTAATAATTGAGCTACCGGAAATTAATTCAGATGCTATTGTCACCTCCTCGAAGCCTCCCACAGTCCCAGCTGAATGTGGTCTCCTTCTGCTCCTCCACGCTTTGCCTGCCCTTCCCTAAGACAATGATCACTGTCTTCCTTTAATGACAGTTATACTCAATCTTATCTTTTCTCTTCCTGGGCTACAAACACCTTGGTATGATGCTGTTGCTTTCAAGAAGGTATTGTTCAGAGATTAAAAATAAGACTTTGACGTTTCTTTACATCATGTAGTTAGTACTATTTTCATGCCCTCCCTAATAATTACAGAACTAATAATATTACATTTAGCAAACATTTACTGACTACCTACTCTCCCCATTTAAGTACCTTACAAATAGTAACATTTTATACTTTCAATCACTTATACATTTAGTAATATTATTATCCTGATTTTATAAGTAAGAACCAATGTTTTCATAGTTTGTTTGTTTTTACAAACACACAATAACCACAGTGACAGGAAAGCTCTGAAGTGATATGATGGGGGCAATTCGCTTACCCTCAGGGAACCACTTTTTCTTTATCTGTGAAGTGTGGGGGAGGGGGAGATGGCAGCACCCCTCACTTCCCGGGTGATGGTGGTGTTCAGATGTGAGCATGTATAGGCAGTACCAAGCTCACTGACCAGCATGCAATTGATGCTCAATTTGTAGGATGGATTGTTTAACAGTGGTTACCACAGTCCTACTCCTCTTCCATCCTTGGCTGTGCACCATCACCATCAATTGACATAAATGCCTACCTCTTCCGGAGTGAGTGGCTCCACCTCCTCAGTGTCCTGGCTGACAACTCCTGTTCCAGCTGCCTCATCTTACCCTCACCAGGAAGGACAAAGAGGGCCGTGGTATCTCCCCTGTAGTCCATCTGCAGCACAGAGCAGTTCAGCTTTGGATCCACTCCAAAAGCAAACTTTTCCATCTGTTGCATCATGGGGATGTGCACAGTGGTCTGCTTGTTCACCAGAAATGGGAAGCTTTTATGAGTATCTGCAGGGTTAAAGGGCTTCATCCACTTGGCTAGTACAGAGAAGAGAAAGGTCATTATGTCTAAGTGCAATTGGGGAGGGAAGTCAGAAAAGGGGGGGGATGAGGACCTCTGTGAACTCATTTCGACAATGGTCAGCATTACTTTTTTAGAACCCTGGAAATTGACCAAATGCTTACAGCTAACTAGGGAACAAATTGCTAAAGGAAAATAGCTGAATTTTGGCTAGGACAGTAAATTTCATAGTATTTTAACTTGTCCCAGTCCCACACCTCATTCTCCATCTCTGCAGTGGTTTTTTTTTTTTTTTTTTTTTTTTGTACCAGGGATCAAACTCGGGTCCTTGTGCTTGGGAAGCAGGTGGCGGAACCACTGAGCTAAATCCCTAACCCTCTAAAGTGGTTTTAAAAAATAACATCCCACACTTATAGTGAAATCCAGCAGCCTGGTAGCCACTAGAGGAAAAAGAGGCAGCTGGAAAAATCTCATTCCCAAAGAATTGTCATATTTGACCAACCTTGTGCTATCCCAGAAAACATTACTTGTGCAGCTGTATATGATCTGCTTACAAACTCGACCAATGCAAAAAACCATTACCCTTAGGGAGTATTTTCTATAACAGTTACAGGCAGTGATAAATTTTTCAGCTGTCTTGGGCAGAAAATAGCAACTGGAGCAAAGAATATACTAACCAAAGAGTTTAAGAGGACAAACTGTGGGTGGGAGGTGGTTAATCTGCAAAGATGATAGTGTAGTACCTTAACATATTTATCCTTCCCTTAGCATAACTAAAAAAATGTTGAGAATCAATATTCTTAGAGCTCTTGAAATTAATAGAAGACTTGCAGCAAACAGGGGAGAGTTTATTCAAGGGGCAGTGACAGAGTCTTGGTGGGAACAGCTACCTTTAGGGCATTTAGCTAGCACCAGTCCCTTTCTTCCTTCCTCAGGGAAGCAGTAGCCTGGAAAAATAGTAACCTGTGTTTCTGATACTAGGAACTTTCCAAGCTTCATTACCAAAAAATTATTGTTACTGAACTTATCTGATGTTTTCCTGAAAGACTCACTCACACATTCAATTGGTGCTTTCTTCTGGGGAATGTGGAAATATTTGTCAAACACAATTCCAGGCAAGTGTTCTAAGCTCATGTCTGCCTGGCTGATGGATAACAGATAAGACAAACAATTGACTAATCAAAGAATTTTAAATAAAAGGCTAAGGAATAGAAGCTTCACAGAAGCTTTGGAAAGTTCTAACATATCCTCGGTCCATATAGTGAGGTCACATATATGTGTAAAGCTGTATGCATATTCATTAGCTCTCAGAGAAGGCTGTGTACTCTCACCTTCAGCTGATCTCAAGAGTCTGCACAGTCAGAAAGTGAAAGCTGAAGACAACTGTAGACTCCTTAGCTGAGTGCCAGTGGCAAGTTCTATCGTATACACAGAGATCCTCAGCAAAGACTGGGAGGTTGATTTGTTTCAAGCATTTAAAAAAATTTTTGTTCTATCCTAACTTATCACATAAGTAACCAAGAAAAAACTTTAGCAATCCCATATAAGAAAGCCCAGGGTTTAAAGAGTTAGTTCAGAAAAATCACTAAACAAACAAACAAAACCAACAACCATCATTACAATAAGCAGCAGCAACAACCTCCCTTGGGAGGGAAAGAAACTTATTTCCAGAGTTGCTGCATTACATTATTTAAAATTTCTAGTTTAATAAAAAAATGAGATGTGAAATAAAACAAGAAAGTATGTCCCATATGTGGGGGAAAGTGATGAAAATTATTCTTGATGAATTCCAGATGTTGGCCTTTTTGGTCAAATTCTTTAAAGCTTATTTAAAGAGCTAAGGGAAATCATATTTAAATATCTAAAGGAAAGTATGACAATGATTTGGCATGCCAAATAAAGAATATCAATAAAGAGAAATTACTTTTTAAGCACCGGTGAAAATTCTAGAGTTGAAAAGTACAACAATTGAAATGAAAAATTCATGGGAGAAGCTCAATGGCAGATTAGAGCTGGCAGAGCCAAATGACTAGTAAAGTAGATTATACAGCATGAGGAACATGGAGAAAAGGGAAGGAAAAAATCGAACACCACTTCAGAGACCTGAGACACACTATCAGGCATAAAAGTATACACATGAGAATGTTAAAAAACTTCCCTGATTTCTCTTAGTGCACTGAAAAGAAAGTTTTGTGTTATTATCTGTTTTTTTTTTTTTTTTTTTTTGGTACTGGAAATCAAACTTGGGTCCTTGCACTTGTGAGGCAGGCGGCAGAACCACTGAGCTAAATCCCCAGCCCTATTTGTTTCTTTTTTGTGAGAGAGAATTGTTTTTGTCTATGTCTTATACTCTAACCACTTTGAAGACAATGATATATAGTGTATTAGTATTGTTATTCTATTGTTATGAAATTTTGTTTTATTTTTTCGTAAAACTCCCAGTTTTGATGAAAATCATTAATGTACACTTTCAAAACACTTAACAATTTCCAAGCAGCCTCTGCTCAAAGAGATCCATATCTAGACACAGCGTATCAGTCAAAAGCAAAGAAAGAATCATGAAAAGCAACTTATCACATGTAAGATATCCCCAATGAAAATAACAGATGATTTCTTAGCAGAAACTGATTAGTCTGTTTTTTGTCAATGTGACAAAAAAATCTGAGATATGCATTTTAACAGAAGGAGATCTAATTTGCCTCATAGTTTCAGAGGCTTCAGTCCCTGGTCATTTGGCGGTACTGCCTTTGGGCCTGTGGTGAGGTAGTCTAGCATGCCAGGAAGTATTTAGTAGAGCAAAGTTGCTCACTTCATAGCAGCCAGGAAGAAGAAAGACTGAGAGCAAGGTGCTGTGCTCCCAGTGTCCCTTTCAAAGGCATTACTGTCTCTAGGCTGTCCTCAAGGTCCCACCACCACTGCATAGCTCCACACGCTGGAGACCAAAGCTTCAAAATATGGCCTTTGGGGAACTTTTAAGATTCAAACCATAGCACACAGGGACCCGAAGGCAAGTGGACAACATATTCAAAGTGCAAAAACAAAACAAAACACTCTACCAATCAGCAGTTCCATATTTGTCAAAACTATCTTCCAAAAAATAGAAGAGAAATGAATAATTCTCTGACCAACAAAACTTGAGAGAATTTGTTGTTAGCAGATCTGGCTGACAAGAAATACTAAAGAAAATCCATCAGGCTGAAATGAGATGACGAGAAAATATCTTGAATCTATAGAAAGAAATAAAGGGCATCAGTAAAGAAAATTATGTAGTTGAACACAAAATATAGCATCAGTACTTTTGTTTGTGTTTTTTCTGATTTAAGAGACATCTCATAGAGCGATGATAAATCTATGTTTCTGAGCACACAGATCATGAAGATGTAATTCATGACAGCAGCATAAAAGGGATGAGAAAGAAAGTAGCTATTTAGGAGTCAAATTTTTTTGTAGACTATTGAAATGACTATTAGTATTAATTCAAACTAGATTACTATAAATTAATATGTTAAAAGTAATCCCTACAGGGCCAGGGATTTAGCTCAGTGGCACCATGCCTGCCTCTCAAACACAAGGTCCTGAGTTCAATCCCTGGTACCAAAAAAAAAAAAAGTAATCCTTATAGCAAACATTAAGAAAATAACCCAGAAATTTTGAATACAAGATAAGGGAATTAAAATGGTACATTATAAAATATTTCAAAGCAAAAGATGGAATGAAGAAAATTAGGAACAAAAAAGCTATCAGTATTATGGAAAACAAATAGCAAAATGTCAGCCATGGCCTGTCAGAGAGCTCTGCATCACTTCTCTAAAACCTCCAAATGGTAGCTGCTGGTCGCATGAGCTAAGACCCTTTCTCCCAAGCTAGTTTACAGAAGACTTTTCCTGGGGGCTGCCCACCAAACCCAATGTCAGCCCCTCGGGATGCCCAATCTGTCTATCTAAATACTGAGCCTCCCATACTAATTGATAAACAGGTGCTAGCAGAGAGTGCATGAAGTATGCAAGGGCTTCCAGTCAGCTGGTTTCAAGGCTAATTAGAACTTAGGCCCTCCCCATGACTCCACCCTGCTGTCTAGGACTTGTCTGGCTTGTGTATTTGACTAAGCAAACAAAACAAAATCAGATCCTTACCTTTAAAGAAAATGTGGTTCACGAGGACCATGACCGTCAGGGGGTCAAGGTCTTGGATTAAGCTCATCACCTTCCCTTTAGTCTCCTTCTCCACGTAGTTGTTGATCCTCTGGGTGGTGAAGGTGTTGGAGAAATCTATAGAAAAGACTTTCGACTCATACAGCCTCTTGGCTCTGTCTAAAAAACTTGCCTGTAGCTGCAGCCCTTTTTTGACAAAGAGGGCACTGCCCATCCTCAAGTCCAGTTCTTTGTTGGGGACACTGAGTGTGTGGACCAGCTGCTGGAAACCCTGGTGGATGGCAGATTCATGTGTGGCTGTGAGGTTGAAGCCCAGGGTCCTGAGGATCTGAGCCTTGGTGGCTGAGTGGGCCCCTAGGGACAGCATGGCCAGGGATGTGGAGATGCTCACAGGGGAGAAGAAGACGTTCTGACCCGGGCTCTGCAGAACCAGTCTCCAGTACAGGTGGAAGGCGAAGTCATTGCTGCTGGAAGACACCTGGGAGACAGGGCTGCTCTTGGTAGAGGGAGGGTGTGGAGACCCTCTGCTGGGGGGACTGCATGGAGGCTTGCAGTAGATGGGAGCCCAAAGGCCAACACAAAGGAGGAGATGATAAAATGGAAAGGCCATTTGGAAACAGAAGAAGTCTACAAGAAAGAGAATCATGGAGGAGAGGTAAGCTAGGATCCAGGCAGGGACCCTTCCACATCCCACACAGTAGCAACTGACAGCTCTCTAGTGGAACCTCATTGGAACACCCAGTAACCCCACAAAGTAGGTATTGTCATTACCGTGTCATTACTGCCTTGGTTTTACAGGCCTCCAAGAGGATGTGACTTGCAATTTACCCCAGGTTGCAAGGTTAGTTTGTGCGCTGTCTGGGATTTAAAGTCAGGTCTCAAAGCCCCGATTTCATGATCTTTGCCACGGCTGCTTCCTAGGTTTGTTTTGTAAGAATAAGAGAGTGAAAGTAGTTTGCAAAATCCCAATCCTTGTCCTGGAAGTGATCTCTCACCCTCCAAATATTCTTCACTCCTTTTGTGCAGATTGGATCATGTCCTCACCCTGACTGCCTGTCTCGGCCACAGGCATTTCCTGGTATGTTCATGTCTGTCATCAAGTGGAATCCTAGAGCAAACAGCTGCCCTGGAACTGTGGTCCCCAGGTGCAAGAGCAGACAGCTTGTAGCCTACCCCCTCTACTACCTGCCGTCTATCACACCTCACAGAAGGAGCTTTTCCTGGGTACCCCCTCCCCTCCCAGTGCTCATAGAAAACTCTCGGAAGCTAATTAGCTATCACCTGCTTGAAAGGCACCCCCTTAGCTGCCTTTCCAGCTGTGACTTCAGCCCTCTCTTCCTTCTCTCCTCCTCTGCTCCTGAAACGCGACAGTACCTTTATTACCAGATGGATGACCACTGGCCGAGGATGTCTGTCTATAGTCTGAGCACTCGGAATGTGCAGTGCATGCATCCAGGGCTCTGGTTTGACACGTGCACATACTCAGGCCCTACACAAGGCTCTGTGCAAGTGGGGGACAGGGAGCAGGGTCCTGGCCCTGAGGAGCTGTTGGAAAGATGGGCAATTAGCTGGTCTGAAGAGTGGATATGACAGGCAAGTGGGAACCTTGGGCACATCTGTCCCAGAACAAGAAAGGCTTCCAGAGGATGGGAGAACTGACTGAGATTTGAAAAAGTTAAAAAGATGTTACACTTTGGGTCTGGAATGTTTCCCAAAGCCCACATATTGAAGACTTGGCCTGAGCTAGTGAAGCTATTGGCAGGTAGCGGAGACTTCCGGAGAAGAGGCCTTGTTGGAAGAGGTGGATCCTTGGGGCATGGCTTTGAAGGGTATATTTCTCCCTGGACCTTCTTCCTTCTCCCCACTTCCTGGCTGCCATGAGGTGAGCAGCCTCCTCTTTCACATACTCTTGCTAGCATGATGTTCTACCTTGCCTTCGCTCTAAAAGCCACGCGGCCAGTTGAAACATGGAATGAAACCTCTGAAACCATGAGGCAAGTAAACCTTTCCTCTTTTTCTCGGGCATTTTGTCACAGCAAAGCAAAGCTGACCAACACACAAGGTGCAAAGGAAATGCAGAGGAGAGCTTTAGTCTGAGGGAGCTGCTGTGATGAGGGCCACACAGGAACGAGAGCAAGGCAGCTCTGAGGAAGAGAACAGAGACGATTGTGTGAAGCAGGACCCCGGCCGGAGCAGCCCGCAGCAAGACGGGGATTGGTGAGAGAGGCAGCAGAAACAGGAGGCCGCAAGTTGCCACAGAGCAGCTCCTGGGCGTAGGGATAATCCTTTGCTGCAGGCACCTGAGTGTCTGTCTTTGCTCTTTGCACTCACTTCCTGTCCCCTCCCTCCTGAGCAGTTAAGTGCTCCAGGCAGGGCGCCAGGGACACAGGGTGCACTGCCCTGAGGCGGAGGAGTATCTGTCCTGTGTCAGAGCAGGCTGGGTGGAGACAAAGGACGAAGGCCAGCACCTCGAGGAAGATGGGACTGGGACCCTGAGTTTCTCCTGTCTGTTGAGCTGTGACGGACAGCAAGAATGAGGGTGAGGTCTGCACACACTGTGGGGGGGTGGGGGCTGCGGTGACATCTCACGGTCTGCAGGGTCTGCGGACTCCGTGATTAAGTAGCAGCACCCAATGTTGACCCCAATCAGAAGTCACATTCCCCTCACAACCTCAGGGTGATAAATTATGAGAAACTAAAAAGTCACTGGCTAGGTTTGAGGATGAACCTAACTCTGCAGAAGAAAAGGTCAGGGCTCTGCAAAACAAATCGCTAAGAGCAATCCAAACTGAAGCCCGAAAGCTGGAAATGAAAGAGTGAAGTAACAGAGCCCCAGCTCACAATGGATTCCTGTGCAGAAAAAGAAGTGTGAGAAGGGAGGTGTGGACACTGGGAAAGCTTTGAAGAAAGGTGGGCGGAAAGATTGCTGTGCTTTATGCTGTGCAAATGGTGTCCAAATAGATACTAGGCATAGTCACTTTTGGAGGCGGGGCTCCGGGGCCTGCACCCCAAGGCCAGGTCTTCATGCTCTTTCACAGGGAAATCCTGGCTCACTCAGTGGGCTCCAGAAACCCAAGCTTCCTCCGCACTTGGCCTCCACCACCCCAACTCCAGTCCTCCTGTGGCAGCCCCCACCCCTCCTCTTGCCCTGCTGTGGCCTGGATGTGTGTGAGCTCCGCCCTCAGCATGACAGGGACACTCGGACCTCTTGGGTCAGCCCTGCCTGCTGCTCCCTCCCAGCTGCCCAGACCTTTGCTCCCCGTCTCCCCCCAGTGCATCGCTGGAGGCCCAGTGTCTCCCAGCCCCTGTCTCTCCTCACACTGCACAGTGCAGCCTGTGTGTCTTGCCTTCTCCACTCCTCAGCAGCTCCCCACCGAGTGCAGGGAAGAGCCAGGCTCCTGGCCCAGAAGGTCCTTCTCCCCTGTGTGCCGCCTTCCCCGGTCCCCAGCTCCATTTCCCAGCACCACCTTCTCTGCCCACTTTCCGGCTTGGGTGTCAAGGGCTCCGTGGCCTTCCTTGTCCTTTCTGCAGGCTCCCAGCTGGCCCTTCCGGGAATGTGGCTCCTCAGTCAGTCAATCGCTGGGAATCCGATTTCCGACCTCCACCCACCCAGCAAGGTATCAACTCCCTGTCCCACTGACGGCAGAGCAAAGCCCAGCCTCTCCACATCCTTCACAGGGCACGTGTGTACACGCACACACACACACACACGCACACGTGCACACACATATCCGCACCCTCCGCAGAGAGCCTTGCTCCTACCTCCCATCAAAGAGAGACCTTCAGATTAATTTTTTTTGGTGCCGGAGATCGAACTCAGGACCTTGCACTTTCAAGGCAGGAGCGGTGCCTCTGAGCTGCATCCCCGGCCCCGAAGAGAGACCTACAGAGAGCCAGCTGTCTCAGCCTCTGCAACACAAATCTCTGCTCCTGGGCACCCAGCCCCTCCACTCCGCTAACCCCTCAGGACTGTGAAACCCCATCTAGGGACCCTTCCCCTCTCTCTCCCTCGCTGAGTGCCCCCTCTCAATGTTGCCCTGGACTTTTAAACACGTTTGGGTCTTGGCCTGCTGCCACAAACAGATGCTTCGCAGCAATAAAACAATAAAAAGCATCCTTTCCCTGGCTCTCGTTCCTCTCACTGCTTCCTTCTGCAGCTCCAATGTTCACAGCCTCCACAACTTCGCCTCTTCTCCCCGTCTGGCTCTGCACCCACAGAAGCCTGACCCCGAGGTTTAGAGGTTTAAAGCAACAGGGCCCATGTATCCGGTGCTCTGCTCACTTGCCTGCCCAGCAGCGCCGACACTGAGGCATGGGGCTCTGCCGCCACCCTTCCCTTTGGCTGCCTGCCACTTCGTCCTCCGGGATCTCTCACCCCTCTGCTCCTCCTCCTCCACACCTGGCTGGCTCCTGTCCTCCGCAGCCCTGGCCCTGGCCTTATATGTCCACGGGCCTCCACTTGTGCCTACTTGGCTATGGCTCTCTCCTGTCCTGACTGATCTCATCACACCCACAGTGGCTTCCTGATCAAGATATACAGATGGCACAGTGCCATCCTGCTCTCTGACCTCCTTATCTCCAGCTGTCCGCCTGCCAGCTCCTCCTGAGTTTATAAGTAAATCTCAAGTGCCTGCTGTGTGACCCAACTGAACTCAGACTTTTCCAAAGGCCATCTCCCAAGAGTCACAGAGGAAACCTCTTCCAATTTTTGCCTCATGGGTGCCTTGTTTAGCTGGATCTGTGAGCCTGGGAATCTTCCCTGTACCGGCATCTTAATTCCTACTTTCTCTGCTTCTCCCACGAGCAGGTTAGCTAGACTGTCATGGCCTCTTGCCTGGACTACTGTGAAAAACCTCTACCAGGTCTCTGATCCCCTACTCACTCTGCATATGGCAGCTAGTACAGTCTCTTAAAACACAAGACGGACTATGTTGCGTACCTATTTTTAAGTGTGTTGACAGCCTCCCATTGTTCAGAGTGGACACTGAAGTCTTTAGTTCAGCTTGCATAGCCCAGTCCCATTGGCCCCTCTTCCGCCCGAGCATCAGAGGCCCTGGCCCTGACCTCTCTGTCAGACATTCCGCCTGTTTCAAGGCTGCTCACATATGACTTCTGTTTCTGGAGTGTTCTTCCCACTTCTTCCTTTCGGTTTCTCCTTAGCTAATTCCTACTCATTATTTAGGACCTGGCTCATATAATTTTCTCACTAACACTGTATTTGGACACTCAGATGAGGAAAATTCCTCTTACTAATTGTTTTTTGTGATTTTATTTTGCTTTGGTACTGGGGATTGAACCCAGGGCCTTCACACCTACATCCTTAGCCTGTTTTCCTTTCTTAGACAGGCTCTCACAAAGTCAATAAATTGCCCTGGCTGGGCTTGAATTTGTAATCCTCCTTCCTCAGCCTCCCAGAGTGCTGGGATTACAGGTGTGTGCCACCACACCCGGCTCTATTGAATGTCTTTGTGCCACCATCAGCCTCTGCATGAAATATGTATTGCTCCCATAATTTCTGTTTATTTATGAGACTGCCCAGTTCCTGAATCAGGGAACTTGACTAGCCTGTTCTCCCTGCACACTCATTGTTTGACCTGTGTGTCCTGTAAGTGTTTGATGAGTGAATAAATGAACTGAAACAAAATAAAACAAGCAGTTTGCTTGTGGGGAGTGATAGTGGTTGAAAATGAGCAAAAAGGACTCTGAGGTCTGGGTGATGTGAATTTCTGTACCTATTAAAGTATACACAGATATCAAGTTTGAGTTGACTTATACATCTGTCCAAAACAAAGTAACTGATTTTGGAGCTATAAATAATTATAAGCAGATAGAAATCAGGGCACAATATATGAAACAATTGAGGCACTAAAGTGTATACGAAACAGTTCAGGTATTGGACAACAGGCAGGAAAGAAAAACAAAGAAAGTGTGCCTCATAATTGTTCCAGTTTTCTGGCACAGGAGGGAAAGCAAGGAGACACAGCAGGCTTGCTGAGCTTATGAGACAGATATCAAAGCTTGAGAAAGCTGAATTTTGCTGCAAAACTCTACAGACAGCTTCAGAAATGTGCATAGAGTCTCCTTAGGTCTAAAGCCAAGTGCTAAGCTCTGGGTGCATAAGGTAAATTTCCTAGTCTAACACATAAACACAAGCTAAAACATAGAGCTTCTATGCAAAGCAACTCTTATAGCTCACAAAGCGCGGGAACATACGCACACTGTATCTAAGGTAAACAGACCTGCAACATTCAGTTGTGACCCAGAAATATCACTTAGAGTCATTAGGGCTGAGCTAACTTTAATTTAAAGTTACGTAGGCAAAGCTTTGCCCTAGGAAAGCTCAAAAACATGCCTTGACAGGACCAAGCAGATCTTCAAGGAACTTGGTAGTCTGTCAAAAACAAATATTGGGCCCAGGATGTAGCTCAATGGTGCCACTCCTGCCTGGCAAGCACAAGGTCCTGAGTTCAATCCCCAGTACCAGAAAAAAAAAAAAATCACTGCACTGTAAAGGAAAGCATCCAAATCCAGACAACAAAGTTGTGATGTTACAATGTCCAATATCCATCCCAAAATCGCTAGACATTCTAAGGACGGGAAAATGTTACCCATGACCAGAAGCAAAATTACACAATAGAAACAGACCCCAACATGACTAATATTAAGAAATGAGCAAATGAGGACTTTAAAATGGCCAGTAAAATATACTTAAAGAGGAGAGCTGTTGATTTAATGTAAGAACAACAAAACTAAGTAGTACTTTGGTTCACAAACATGATTCTTTCCACAATTCTGTTGTAAACCAAACTGGAGGAAAATTAAATCAAATTTCCTCATAAGCTCAACATTGAACCTAACCATTGAATTTGATTTGGTTCTCATCCAACTCAGTTTGCAACCAGAATCATGGAAAGAATCAAGTCCCTGAACTAAGGTACCACTCACTGTATTTATAAGGAATCAAATTGAACTTCAAGAGAGGAAAAAGTCAATATCTGAAAATAAAAATTCACCAGCTAGAGTTAAGAGCAACCTAATGCTGCAGAAGAAAAGATCAATGATCTTGAAAATGTATCAGTGGGAATAATTTGAGCTGAAAACAGGAAGCTAGAAAAAACATAAAATAACATAGCCCCAGTGGATCTGTAGGAAAATATCAAGTGGTCGCAACACAGAGACCACACAGGGACAAAGGATGAAAGTACAAACAAGGGCCGGGATTTAGCTCAGTGGTTCCTCCACCTGCCTCGCAAGCACAAGGTCTCGAGTTCGATCCCCGGTACCAAAAAAAGACAAACAAAACCTCTGGGTCCTTAACCTGTTACTCATGAAGAACATGATTGTGTTTTCTTCTGAGCCAGTTGGGAAATTGAAAGTGGTTTTTGCTACCAAAAAAAAAAAGATTCTTCATTTGGGCTTACAGATGCCGAGTTAGGTAATTAAGAAGAAGAACAAAGCTTGACTTTCGTTTTATGACCTTAAACCTTTGGGCAGATCCAGCTCTGCATATAGGCATGTTAATCACTTAAGTAGTGTCTGTCTAAATACTGGCAAAGTAGGTTGGTTAGCCTTGAATTTACCTAACTTGCACGACCCCCTTCAAGACTGAGGGCAGCGGGCCAGGGGTGGTGGCACACACCTGTGATCCCAGCACTTGGGAGGCTTGAGGTAGCAGAATTACCACAATTCAAGGCCAGCCTGACTACACAGTGAGTTCAAGGACAGCCTGAACTACACAGCGAGACCCTGTCTCCAAAAAAAGAGAGAGAAAGAGGCTGAGGGCACCAAGATAAGAGATTTATGGGACATTCAACTGTGCCCAGAAGTCTCTAGTCTCTGCCCCAAACTTACAGTCACCTTGGGTTCCAACAGAGCCTCCTCTAGACTGAAACTGCCCCAGATAGAAACAGTGAGCACCCGCAGACTGAATTGCCCCTCGGTGGAAAGGACTTCTCCCAGAACCATCTTGCAAAAGCGGGATGAAGATAGTGATAATCAGACCCCAGCCCACCTCTGCTAGTTGGTAAAGGCTGGCTCACTCTTTGTGAATAGGCCAGTCTGATGCTCTTTGTCTGAGATGTGACCCTTACAGCCAGGCACGGTACAGGCCTGGAATTCCAGCACTCTGATGGCTGGGGCAGGAGGATCCTACGTTCCACCCAGCCCGGGCAGTTTAGTGAGGAGACCCTGCCTAAAAATAAAAAATAGAAAACTGGCTGGGAATGCAGCTCAGTGCAGAGACCCTGGGTTCTGAAAAAGAAATAAATGTGGTCTCTTAACTCCTCCAGCTGACGTCCCTCCCCCATTTCCTCTTACTTTCTAACTCTGCCTAATACACTGCACATCACTGATGCACTCTGAAATGACTCTTGCTGTGATCAAAGTTGGTAAGTCTACTCCACCAGGAACCCCATCGGATCCGAAACCCATCCAGCGACAGTCTAACATCTGGGGTCCTAGGCAAGAAAAGGGGTGGGGTATGGAGAATAGAAAAAGGTTTTAAGAAATAATTGGCAGAAAGACTATGTGCTTTATTCTATATAAACTATATCTAAATTTTTAAAAGCACTAAGTACAATAAAATGAAAAGAAGGCAGTCCTGTCCTTTCTGTCCCTGCTCTGTAAGATCACAGGTGCTCAGTGTGCCTGGGCCACCCCCCACTCCTCACCTGTGATGCCCGTCCCTCCTGCCACTCCAGCTCCGTCACCCACACCAGGCTTCCCCAGAGCCCACAGAAAGCCTGCTTCGCCCTTGGCAAGCACCTGCGGCTGACCACAGCTGTCACCTTCTCTGTGTCTCTCCCCGATTAGACAGCCGGGATCGTGTGTCTTCCCCCAGGGCAGGGGCAGTGATCAGCACATCACAGGGAGAATGGATAAGAGGAAGAAGAACCCAGAGGAATATGAAGGTAGAAGAGGGCGTGAGAGGGCAGTAGGAGGAAGTGCCAAACCCCGAGGCCCAGACCCTGTTGACTTGACCCCACCCAGGAGTCTGACAATGGGTGAACCTCACTGAGGCATCCTGATGACTCTGACCTACGGAATTTCCTAAGCTTGGTTAACTGGGTTCTCATCAATATGGAAGTTCCCGGACCCTGCTCAGAACCTCCCAGTCAGATTTTCCAGGGAAGATGAGAAGACTTGAGAGGTGGGGAGCTGGGTGCTTCTTCCCCACCCCACCACCTAGACCTCTGTCTCTGCCCCCGCGAGAAGCTCGCCAACATCATGGCACCTCTGAGGACCTCGGTGACTGCAGCCTCAGGGCCAGCCAGAAGGCGATGCCTGTTTCTCCCCAAATTCAGAAAATAACCCCATGAGAGCAGCATCAAAGCAGGAGCAGATCCCCATGTGCCCATCCAAGGCCCATCGCAAGAGCCCTGTCCCAGGTCTGGCCTCTCCATGGAGCCTTCTGCAACACGAGGGCAGCAGACTTTCTAGGATGGTCTGCTCCTGGCTGTTGTATCTCTCCCCTACCTCACCATCTTTATGTGTCTGGTTTCACGGAGGTAGTCATATCCTTTTTAAAATCTGGCTGCATCTCTCTACCTTTCTGCTTTAACATTTATTTTTATATCTCGCTTATTCTTTCTCCTAACAGTGGGGCAATGGTGCCTCAAGAGCAAACTAGCAAAGCCACCATAACCAGAAGCCACCATTCGGACTGTCAAGAAGCCTCAGCTAGGACTGCAGTCCCCATCAGAGCCAAAACTATGTGCACCATTGTCGGGAAGAAGCCCCAGGGCCTCATGTAACCCCTTCTGCTGCCTCACTGCTCTTTCTTTGCCTACTCAGTGAGGTCGCCTGAGCCACGCCGAGGACTGGGGTGCAGGAGGGGATAGATCTACATGGAACCCCAGGCCCTCAGGACTTTTGTCTGCCTCTTCATTTGTTTTGTTTTCTCAGGACCGTGGGAGACATGGAATTCCTGTCTGAGAAAGAATGGAGGAGCCTTTTCCTGGCCTGGTTTAGGATGTCATTATTTTGTTCACATCATGGCAAAGAAACTGCCCACTAGATGGTTCTCTGTGCTAGGAAGGCCCAGAGCCTCTCCATGGAAGCTCCTTCCGCACCCTGCAATCAGCACGGATGTGCATGAGTGCCCAGCAGTGCCACAGTACATGTGTACATGGTGTGTCATTAGCACCCCCCAAACACCCTGAGGGATCCCCACTTCATCGACTGGAAAGAGTAAGGGTAGCCCTATGACTCACCTGTTGTCCAACTAGATGGCATAGTTGTGGACTCAACTTCAGGTGCCCTCTCCCATCAAACTAGTTTCTGGAGGTCCCCATCAAAGCCCTCAGAATGAAAGATCACTAAACACAATACATGTCCTGGAGCAGAAGGAAGAATGCCAATGAAAAACTAGTGCAATCCAAAGAAAGGCCATAGTTCAGGTGACAGCAAGGCACCAACACTGGAAGATGCTAACATTAGGGGAAGCTGTTGAAGGGTATGCAGGAACTGTGTACTATCTTCGCAACTTTTCTGTAAATCTAAAGCAATTCTGAAACTTAAAAGTTTAGAAGAAGAAAGAAGAGGGAGAGGAGAAAAAAGAGGAGAAGGAGAAAGGCCCGTCAGGCACATAAAACCAGGAAACCATTCTCACCTTGTTTTTTTTTTTTTTTTTCATTCCCACCTTGACCTAAGACCCAGGGACTATGGTGGGGACTTTTCTGAACTCCTGGAATAACAATCTTGGGTGGCTCTGCCCATAACATGGAACCCCAGTGGGTAAAGTTCTCCCTTTCCCAGTTCTCTTTCAATCTTCTTGATTTCCTCAAGGGGAGGTTTCACCTTGGTGCCTGTTCCCTTCACCACCATGGTAGACTTGGCCACCTCCCCTTGTAACGACGTAGAGTGGACCTCAGGCTCATGGCTGCTGTGGGGCAAGTCTTGGTGCAATTTAGTTATTGCATTGGTTTTGTTGGGTGGATTTTTAGTTTCTATCTGAGACAAGTTATGCTGGTTTTGAATGAATGGTTGTGATATTAATTTTTCTTTTTTTTAATTATTAGAGCATTTATTCAGATACTTCCAAAAACAAAGTGATATATACACGTAACAGCATGAATTATATTTTGCATTGGGGAGCTCAGTTTTTATTTTATTTGTATTATTAAATACTCATTACCCTTTTGCTATAAACCAAGATGATTTTCAGACGTGTTCTATGGCATGATTCTGTATGCATTAGGTTAATTTAGAAAATATTTCCATCAGAGTCAACATCTCAGAAAGATGGGAATGAGGCCACATGAGGGAAGTCGTGTCAGGCTGACAGACCAGAGGCTGTCCTAAGAGCTGTAGGTATGGCAAGATGGAGGGGTCTCCTTTGACCTTTCAATACCAGGGCCACAATCCACTTGTCTTAAACTGGTTGAGCAGCACAAAAGTCAGACAAACTTCCAGAGCTTCAATGTCACAAAGGCAAATAGGCATTCCCAAAGTGCATGTTGAGTGGGGCCCCACAAAGGATATTTATCCCTACCTAACAGTATGGTGACCAGGATCAAGACAACACAAACACTTCCAGTCAGCATTAATGTTTGCCTTGTCATCCTTTCTTTATCCTGTCTCTTCTTTCTCCAGCTTCAGTGTTTCTTTCTCCGGGCACCAGTTCTTTAAGCTGTTGACACATGGGACAGTTAAACAAGTATGCTTTGTATATAAAGAGTGTTGGGGATAAGGATGGAGCTCTGTGTGGTAGACTGCTTCCCTAGCATGTGTGAGACTCTGTGTTCACTTCCCAGCACTTAGAAGAAAGCACCTCTGTAGCATATCTGCCCTTGGGAAGACAGACTTGGTAAAGATGACTTCACAGGCCCAGGAAGCTACATTGAGTCCATCTATGTAGGAAATAGCAGGGTCCCAACTATTCAGAGCATGGCCTACAAAGAAGTTCACAGCCTCTGGATTGGCATATGTCCTTGGACTTATGGATTTCTAACCTTATGGAGAGAAGTAGCAGGTGAAAATCAGAGCTCCCCTGATGAAAACAGCAGCCATTCCCAGCCACAATGAGGCCCTGAGCTCCTCCTCTGGTGAGAACAGCCTAGTTCACATCAGGAAAACCATTTGCAGCAAGCTTCATTAATTTTTCTTTTTAAACAAATTCATTTTTAACATGAACTGAGTTGAAGATAGACCTTGACTAAATAATGCAATGATCCCCAACTTACATTGGTTCCATGGCACTTTTTTAAATTTATGATGGTGCGAAACTGATACACATTCAGTATTTCAAATTCTGAATTTTGATTTTTTTTCCCAAGCCATCCTTTGAAGTTTGAATTTGCATCTTTTTGGGGGCTATTGATATGTGGTCCAGCCTCCCTGTCAGACCCCCAACCTCGAGAGGAGACGGCCAACAGTCCACAGGGTACTGTGTAGCTGTGATACTCAGTAGGTTGGGTGTAAGGTGTTTTCTACGCATGACAGGCTCACTGATCAACACATAAACCCATTGTAAGTCGAGGAAGATCTGTAATGCAAAAGAGGTGAAGACTGAGCCATGATCATTAAAGTGGTTCTGGAATGTATGTAATTTGGGAAACTGAGAGCCAATGGAGAACAGGTTTCCCAAAGGGAAAAGGAGGCTCGTGTTCATTTTCGGCTTTGTGTTCATTTCCTTTTGTATGAGTACGTGTTTGCTCTACATGAAGTTTACATTCGTCTTAGGGAGTGGTTACATGTACTGAACATGTCTTCATTCTTTTTCCCTTCCCCTCCCAATCCACCTCCCTCTCTCTGTCTCCACATCCCCGTTCCTCATTTTCACTTTGTTGTTATTATATCTTGGTTCATCTTTGTGACATATAATGATTACATTCATTGTGGGGACTTGGTACACGTACTGACACATGTTTAATCTTTTTGTATCCCCTTCCCTCCCACATACTCCCACCCTTCGTCTCTTGGTCCCCTTGTTATTTACCAAAGATCTGTCTCCTTGTCTCCTTTTATCAATCATTTTTTTTGCTGTTTATTTGTACTTTGGATTACTGAAATGAGGAACGGTATTTGAGGTTGTGTGTCCGATTTATTTCACTTAACATTATGTTTTCAAAGTGTGTTCATTTTCATACAAATGTCTCAAATTTACCCTTGTTTAGAGGCAAGTTGTATTCCATTCTTTTGGTACATCCTTGGCACCAATATGGCCACCTGGTAGGGCAAGGCATGCTCTCCTGGCTGGGCATGAACACTTCCTGGGAAGTGTGGAGGAAGCAGGCCATGTGATGGAAGCTGTGCTGGAAGGAGGTTCCTGTCGCTCCTGTTCACCCCAGCTTCCCCACACCTGGCACACTGCCTGGCACATAGGAGATGCTCAGTGAACATATTTTGAGTAAATCAGTGCTTGGAAGAATGACTACATAGATGAAACTTTGGAGCCAGCTCCATGATTTCCATTAGCAGTGGAACAGACTTGTCAGAGATGGAAGGGCCTTCTGAGGTCAACCCCATCACTGCACAAATGGGAAATGGACGATTCCAGGCTGGCAGTGCTGTGGGCTGAGCGGGGCAGACAGGAAGCCAGACACCTGGCACTCTGAGTGCTTGAAGATGTAGAAAAGTCCCTAACTAAGAAGCTGTGCAGAGGCTTCCTGCGTCACAGGAAGGGCAGGTGGATCACACCCACAGGCTTTGCTCCCTGAGGTTCTGCCACTGGGAGTGTACTTCCTGGGTGTGGCTCCTCCCTCTCCCGGTCATCAAGCACATCCATGGGTGGCCATAGGATGACTTCAAGGCAGAGACCTTGGAGAGTGGAGTTATCAAATCTCCTGTCTTGGTGATGATGAGTCTCACCTTCTCAGAAGAGCCAACCTTGACCTCCACCAGTGGCACCAACACCTCCAGTTTCAACTAACAACCAAATGATTTTATTTCTTTATTGCATCTCTTATTGATTGTTTTTCTTTACTAGCATAAAACATCCACAAGGGTGTAGGTCTTTATAAATTTTGTTCACTAGTATTTCAAATCCCTAGGAAGGTCAGATGGATGGATGGATGGATAGATGGATGGATGCATAGATGGCTGGCTGGCCAGATGGGTGGATAGATGGATGGATGAGTGGATGGATAGATGGATAGTTGCATAGATAGATGGATCGTCAGAGGGATGGATGGATGGTTGGATGGACACATGAAAGCCAAGGATGCTTACTCAGGAGACTTGCATTTGGTTTTAACTCTGTGGTTTTCTATGTGTCGGCTCAGTTTCCTCATTAACGACAGGAATGGTTCCACTTCCCTGCAGGTTGGTGAGTCTGTGGGCTGGTGAGAGCACTCATGCAGAGTAGGCTTTGATAGGCATCTCAGAAGTGTTGAGTACATCAAAGCCAAATCCACTGATACATTCCCTCATTCATTCAGTCCACAAACAGAGGGTCACTTACAACACAAGAGTCTGCCTGAGTCATTCTGCAACTGAGCTCCTGGGATGGCCCCACCTACCTCTCCAGCCCCTCTGCCCACTTCTTTCCCTGGCAACATGAATCTCATTTCAGTCCACTCTTAGGGCCTTTGCATAAGCTTTTCCTACTGCTTGTGACATTTCCTCATCTCCTACCCAACCTCTTCTTCTTTTATCTTTTCTTTCTCAAAACATTTTTCTTGCAGTGAAGAATGAAAATATGTCTGTGAAGGTAGAAAATCATTTCAAAACTGTTTAAAATATGCAGTGGTCACTTTGAAAATAGAATTAGTTAAGTAGGAATAAAGCAGTACAGCTTATGCCTAATTTCTATTTGAAAGACGAATCAGTATTTTATATATTCTTAACTTCACTGGAAAACATACAGCTATGTGCAGCTGTAATTAATTGCTACAGCTTAAAACACACAAGGTGCCAGCATTTGCTGGTCTCCCCAAATGTCACATTAAGCCTTCCCCGGATCCCCAAGCTGGATCAGTCCTGACTTCCTGTCACAGTCTCACATGCCCTCCTGGCCATCAGTCACGCGTCCACGGACAGCAGTGCTTCTCTGTTGGGAAGAGCAGCCAACCAGGGTCATAAACTCAGCACCAGTAACAAATTAAAGCACAGGTTTTTATAAAAGGGAAGACACTTTATTTGTTGAGTATCAGATTGTTCCATCTCATTTCCCTTTGGGGTTGCTGTAGGTGATCTGGAAGTCTGTTTTTGAGGCTTGTTTATGTGTCTTCTCATTTCCACGGGGGTGTGGGGTGGCTCACCTTCTCTGCCCTAGGAGCCTGGGATGGCATCGGTTTGGAGCTTCCTTCCGGGTGCTGGGACCGCCTGAGCTTCTCTGCCCTAGGAGCCTGGGATGAAGACATTTTATTTGTAAGGAGGAAAAAATGAAAGACAGAGAGCTGCCTCAAAGTAGGGGCAGAGGGTTCCAGAAAGATGGATTCCCACAGGCCCTTTGTTTCTGGCCTCTTTTACCAGGATTTTGAGAACCCTCCTCCCTCGTCAGTACCTGGAACTTGTCACAACCTGATTGGCTCTCTGGACTGTCATTATGAATCCCAGGCCACAGAGCCCTAACCCGAGTGCCACTGCCTATGTGCACATTGCTTTGGTGGGCTTTGTTTGATTTTCTCTTTCCCACTTTGTCAGGGCCTTACCTCTGGGATTCATAGGTTGGTTAGGAGGGAGGGGCCTTAAGTACAAAATTGAGTTAGTGACTAAGTAAGGGGATGTGTGTGTATTTAGTGCAGTAATACAGTGACCGTAGAGTGAGAATCTGCGTGTGTGTGTGTGTAGGTGTGAATAAATATTTTATATACTAAATGAGAGTTTTCTTTTAGGTTATGTAGGCCCTCCTCCTTTTGTGTCCTTTGCATTTTATTGGAGGCAGAGAGGAGTGGCTACCTAGGCTTCAAATACCCACTTCCCTTGGTGCTCTGCTTGTCAGCTCTCCCTCAGGTCTTTTTTTTTTTTGGTACCGGGTATCGAACTTGGGTCTTTGCGCTTGCGCAGCAGGTGTCGAAACCACTGAGCTAAATCCCCGGCCCTCCCTCAGGTCTTTTGAGGTACATTCCTTTTCATTGCTGCAAGAGGAATTCCTCTAGTGAAGTTGTTAACTCTTTCTGGTCAGGATTAGCTAGAAGGCCCAGTGAGGGCCTTGTTCTATTTTTCCTGCCAAGAGGCCCCTTTCCCCTACACATCCATCCTTCTTCATGCTCACCGGGCTTGGTGATGAGGAATGTGGTTACAATGGAGAAGCCACAGGCAGATTTATGAGTGGGGCTATGACAGAGCCAGGTCTGCCGTGTGAGCACCAGCCCAGAGGCTGCATCCAAGCTGCATATGCCACTGCTTCATGCAGATGGACTGCACTTGGGTGGAGAAAAGCTCACGAAGAGAGGCTAATGAGCTGGGCCAGGAAGGGTGAGCAGGAGCTTGTTAGGCAGGAGGACAGAATTCTCATTCTGGGGGTGGGAGAGCCAATGTCAGGAAAGCAGCTCTTGCGGATTTGCTGGTGGTCTCCAGGGGATGGGGAGGGGTGGAGGGAGGTTGCACCAGCAGCTGTCGGGAGAGCCTGGTTGCAAGGCACAGTTTCTGATGGTCTCGGGCCCTTCTCCGTGCAGCTCAGCCTGGGAGACAGGTCTTATCTTCCTTTCCGAGACGAAAAGGGTGAGGCTCAGAGAGATGAAGCCACGAGCCGAGCTCACCCAGCCACTAACTGGCGCCACAGCTCGAGTCCCCTAAGTGGCACACCTGAGATGTCACCAATGGCTTCTGTGTCTGCTGGGCACTTCCCTGCTTAGCAGTCACTTTCTACCCAGCTCCAAGAGCAGCTGTGCATTAGGGGCTCTGGGCTGCAGCTCCCCCATACTGACCTGCCTCTCCCCCTCCAGGCTGCTTTCTCTACCATCTGAGGCCTGGGGCTCTGGGTCCAGGGTGGAGCAGGAAGCTCGCTGGGTCACTAGTGGTGACGTGGACTTGGACAGGAGCTGAGGTCAGAGGTCAGCATGGGACCTGTTCCTCCCTGCCCAGACTGGGAGCTCCCATGAGGCCCTTCCATCGGTCAGAGCCTCCGTGTCCACCTCTGGCTGCCCACAGTGGCAAGGTGACCACAAAGGGCACAGTGAGCTGCAAACTGCGAGGAAGGACAACTGCCGCTCCCCCAGGCTTCCTAGTGCTGAGCGAATCAGAATCTGCTCCTCCCCAAACGGCACCAGCAAAGGAGCCTTCCCCTGAAATGAATCAACTACATTGAGGCCCAAATGACCATGGGAGCTACTGGTGCCCCCTCGTGGTCACAGATTAGACCATCAGGGCTCCTTACCTGAGGCAAGGCAGGGGTGTAGGGCCCACCCTTGGGGACAAGGCTCCAGCCCCAGGATCGTCTTCTTGTGTCTGAAATAGACTTGGCCAGCAGAGTGCTCACTGCTACCACAGTTGCCTCCTTTTAAGGCTGTCCAAGGACTGGGCCTGCTCCACCTGTGTCACCATCTACCTGCAAGCCTGACACAACCCCTGGACACTCTGGGAGGACAACCACATAGGATATGAACCCACCTGTCTCTCACTCCAAATCCTAGGTACCTGCTGTTATGGCTTGTGTTCAGATGTCCCCCCAAAGCCTCAGGCAGGTGAGGTGGGGCTTTCTTTTCCAGAAGTGGCTGAATCTGGAATGTGTGACTCTAGGATTAAGGGCGTGTGATTACTAAACTGCTGCATGTGAGTGATTGGTTGGCCACTGCCCTAATCCCAGTAGTCTGAATAAGATAAAAGGGGCAGAAAGATGATGTTAATTAAGGTCCCTTTTGCCTTTGCTACGTTGTGTGTGCCACGTAGTTTTTCCTCTGTGATGCCTGTTTGCCCTCCTTTCCTGTGAGCCAGTTGATTATGGACTGAAACTTCTACAAACTGTGAGTTAAATACATCTTTCCCCCTTGGACTTTGGGGGTCAGGCATTTTGTCTCAGCAATGATCGAAAAGTAATTAACACACCTATTGTGGCTCTCACCTCCAAACTGTCAACCAACAGCCAGCAGGCTCAGCAGGGGGAGGGGTGCTTGTTGCTAAGTTACAAAGGCCGGGACATGTTGGAACAGGTGGAGTGCAATGTTTAATCCCAAAATCCCAATGCGCAGGGAGGGGCGTTGGGGTGGCCTGCAAGACGGTGCTTTTGGGTAGCTGTGGGAGATGGTCACGATGCAGGAGTAGGCTAGAGTGTGCCTGTGGCCCCACCCCAGGGCAACAAAGCCGGTTCATTCATCTCAGGCCATGGTTGAGCTCTGCAGCGAGAAGAATTCCTCTTTATTTCTCACTCGGGTTAGAAATCTGTCCCAAGAAAATCATGGCAGGCATAGTGGTCTCGTAAAGCATCATCAGGTAGGGTTTGTTTAACTTGAACTTTTGGGGCCTCTCCATGGGCAGTGTCTCAGAGGCAGAGCCTGCAGCCCCCTCGGTTCCCTTCTCGTTCATCTTCAGCTCAGCCTTGTGCACGGCCTGCAGGGATGGAGAGTGAGGTCAGTGCCTGCCTAGCCACTCACGGAGCACTGTGGGCCGGACACAAGGACCAGAGAGGGAGGCAACTAGGCCAGAGTTGCCCAGCATAGCTGTAACCTGGCTAGTGCCAGCCACCCGGGGCTTCTGGCTCTTATGTTGTCAGCAATGAAGAGGAAGAGGGTGCTGGGGAAGGGCTGGTGCAACAGGGGACATGCAGTGGGGTTTGCTGTTCATCTAATGAATTTCAAGGAATCATCAAGTGTGACTGCTGCAGAAAAGGTCTACTGAGTCTGAGCTCACCCTGGAGGATGGCTGAGAAGGAGCCAGGTTCCAGAAGAGCTGTTGAAGGTGACTCGGACCCCAGCACCCCAGGTCCACCCCAACAGTGTCAGCATCTGTGACCAGGCAATGCATGCGCCCCTGTGAGATTCTGACACATTTCACTCTAGTCTACAAAATCCCAGCGATTCTGCCTTCAGAAAATAGGCCCTGTGCTGGAATCACAATTACCGGCTCACTTCACCGAGGTAAAGAAAAGATCCACTGAATTCAGTAAAGAGTTGTGGGAAGAGGGCACCGCCACTACACATTTTGGAGAAGTAGCAAAATCAAGGCAGGGAGACTCAAAAGCTAGAAAATGCTATGACCTGTGTTTCTTCCTTGTATTTTTGCCAAGTTGCGACCCACCCTCCCCGGGGGGCTTGACTCTCCCCCTCCACCCCACTCTGCCGGTCCCCACCATGATGTCCCCCTCTACTGTTCCACCTCCAGCCCCTAACCCCACCCTGCCCTCTGCTGGCCGATCACCTCACACTATGCTGTGCTTCTAAATCTTCTCCCCTTCCAGGCCCCCCTCATCTAAAAGGTCTGCTAGATGTCATATATTACACCCAGGTTAATCTGAATTCAGGATAAGCAACGAATATGCTTGAGTGTAAATATTTGGCATGTGCTTACCTCAACAAAATTGTTCACTGTTTATCTGAAATCCAAAAGTGACCAAGTCCGCATCTCATATTGCATCTGCCCTGCCTGCATGGCCCTCTTTTCTTGCCCCAGGAGGTGCTCACCCTTGCTGGAGACCACAGGACCTTTGGGGAACATCTCTTCATCACTGGAACTGCTCTACCACTTACTTCTGAGAGGCCCCTGAGGCCTCTGAGAGGAAGTTCTGGGCCTGATCATTGTCCCAGGGCTCGATCAATGTTTGTTGCATTGAATCAACTTCAAACTGGCACCAGGAGAGACACAATTCCAGATTTCAAGACTGGACCCAAAAGCTTGGGGGATGAGGGCATGGTTTATGCTTTGCCCGGGATCAACTACCTGCTCGGGGCGGAGCTGGGCTCTAGCCCAGCCTGTGTGGAGGCAGCATCCTTGCTGGCCTGGCTGCTGCGACAGTGGCTCTGCCCGCTGTGTGAGGCACCCTGCTTACCTCACCCACTTTCAGGCTGCGGTGAGGAGAGATCCGAGTGAGGTCACCGTGCTCCTCGAAGATCTTGCTGATGCCCAGCTGGGAGAGGGTCTTCTTCAGGTTGTAGGTACCAGAGATGTGCATTCTGGGCACATGCACATCCACAACCCTGCAGAGTCACAGTGACAAAGGTGAGCCGGATGGTGCCACCGGGCAGATGGCGAAGAAGGCCTTTGTCCTCCCAGTGCCAAGGGTCTCAGATCTCCTCTGTCCATGGGATGAGAAGGGGCTTCTCCACCCAGAACCCTGGGACCTGGTTCCAAAATACCCTGTGCTTTCTGAACTACGTCCCTGCTGCCTAATCAGCCCAAGAGCCCCCATCTAAGTCCCCCTCTGCACCGTACTTGGGACGATGTCCCCACTGTAGTTTCAGGCAGGCCCAGGCTCTGAACCAACCCTACCCTGCCAGGCCCGAGGGGAGAGGCACGTTGCCAAGCTGAACCGAGCTCAAGTCTGCTCTGCCTCTGTGAGCCCCAGGGAAGGATTGCTGCCCTTGGGCCATGGACCGGGACAGCAGGACGAAGTCACTCCTGGGGTCCGGGTCTCGCCTCGTCTCTGCCTTTCCTCCCTAGGGAATCTCCTCAGTCTTGTGATTTGGATTACCTTGGATAGACCCGGCAGCTCCCGGATTTACTTTTCCACTCATTCAGTGATTGAGCGAGTGTTATTAAGCATCTACTATGGACCAGATGCTGTTCTGGGAGCTCAAGATGAGTCCATGAGCACCACGGGAAAGATCCCTGCCTGTGACCCCTGTTTCCACAGGGAAGACATATAAGGAAATTGATGCCAGGTCAAGCACATGTGGGCGTGCGCCCACTGCCATAGTATGCAAGGGGGCAGGAGTGCCAGGGAAAGAAAGGAAACAGAGATAAACTCGTGGGGATCAGGAATGCCGGGAGTCAAGTGAGAGGTTTGGGCACAACACGAAGGGGCAGGGAACCAGGCAAATAGGGCTTCTTTCCCAGCAGAAAATGGGGAGCCATGTAGGGCCTTGAGCAGAGGAGTCGCATGGTTTTGTTTAGGATAAGGGTCATTCAGTTCGATTTGTTAAGAATACACCCTTGGAAGCATGGTGGTACGAACCTGTAATCCTAGCATCCTAGGAGGCTGAGGCAGGAGGATCACAAGTCCTGACACCTTAGTGACTTAGCAAGACCCTGCCTCAAAATAAACAGTAAGAAAAGGGACTGGGCAGGTATCTCAGTGTGAAGACCATGGGTTGAATCCCCAGTACTATGGAGAAAGGAAGCGAGGAAGGAAGGAAGGAAGGAAGGAAGAAAGGAAGGAAAAGAGGAAGAGGAGACACCGGACATCCAGGGAGGTCCTGGTAAACAGAAACAGAGCGGTGGAGTTGGGGAAGAGCATGGGGCTCAAGAGAGCCATGTGGGAGCCGAGGCACTGGAGGAGATGCTGAGAGCTCTGCCCTGGGCGCTCTCAAAAGGGTCAGTGCAGCAGGAAACAGGCTGAGAACTGGGCCTGAGGGGACAGGGACCAGTGGAGGGGACCAGAGCAGGAGATGAGGAGGGAACAACTGCCCTGGAGGAGATGGGGTTCTGAAGATTGGGGAGGGGCCCCGAGATGGTCCCCTTGGTGACCCCAGTGACAGGAGTGGGTTTAAGACAGGACACAGGCACGGGGGTTGGGGACAGTGCACGGGGCAACTGCTTCAGGCCTTCACTTGCAAAGGGGAGCTGTGAACTGGGTGACATTGCTCAGAAAGGTAACGCCATCAGGGCTTCCTTCAGGCCAGCACAGAGGCACAGGGCTGCGGGCACAGATGGCGGGGGCCTGCCTTGCGTTTCGTGCAGGGAAGCCACCTCTGTGTGCAATGTTATCCCTGGGCCCTGGGCGGCTGTGTGAGGGGAGAAATGAGAGCCCCTTTACAGCCGATGGGAATGACTCAGTAGAGAGCACTGGCTGAGGGAGAGAAGCAAGGAAAGATACGTAAGGCCATATTCCGAGGTGCAAGAGGGTCAGGACTCTGCACACCAGTAGGACATCACCGCTAGCCCTTTCCAAGTGGGAGGGCAGACCGTGCAGGCGGCTGTTGGAGGATGGAAATGTGTGTCCAGTCCACAGAAACAGGGAACGGGGCGTCTGGGCTGGGAGCGGAGCCCCCAAACTTATCATCTGGCGAAAGGCTTTCAAAGCTGCAGCAACCTCTTGCCTCCTAAAGGGTGGGGTCGGTCAGGGCTCAATTTCCTCTCGGAGAAACTGGGCTTTGCCCTGGGGAATCAGAGCAGCAGGCTGAGTTAGACAAAGCTGAATCGGTGTCTGCCTGATGTCCGAGGAAGTGCCTGGGAGGCAGGCGTGTTTACGGAGAGAGGACCCCTGCTGTCCCTGGTCCTCCGGGGGAAGTCCGGGAATAGTCTGGAGTATGGGGCCGAGTCTCATTGGTGCGCATGCTCTGTAGGGTGAGGCTGCTATAATCTAGTAGGGGGCCAGCATCACTATGGCCACATCATAGACAAGAAACCTAGTCTCGGCTGCGGTTGGACCCCATCTCTCCTCCCATTACAGGGGCCAGATTTGCCTTCCCTGCAGCAGGAGAGGTGGAGGCTCGAGTGGAGCTTGGAGTGCAGCAGCTCTCCTGGGACGCCTTGCCATTTAGCCCCACCTCGCCTGGAAGGGGACCTGGTGGAAAGGGAGTTCTTTCCCTTTGTAGGATTCCTTTCAGCAAACTCTGCTGGCAGGGTGTGCACTGTGGCTCCTTCCAGGGCACGTTCCAGGAGGAAGAAGCAGGCTCGGTTCAGTCATAGCTGGGGAACCCAGCTTGGTCCCAGCACCGTCTCTGCCTGATTGGTGGCAGCAAGTCCTGCATGGCTGAGGTCCTGGGTTAACGCTTTCATTGAGATGATGGAGGATGGCGGAGGGCCAAGGTGGAAGACAGACCTCGGAGAGCAGCGAGGGGAATCCTCATCTTGTTCCTACCGAGTAGACCTGCCCTCTCCTCCTCTTCCTCTTGGTCTCTGACTACCATCAACCCTGCCCTAGGCCAGCCACACACGACTGCCGTCCACTCCTCAGGATTTAACTCTAACACCAACCTTTCCCTGCCAAGAAAATCTGCAGCAGGGAAGTACCAGAGAGCAATTCTGTGGGCTTTTCCAAGAAAAATAATTAATCTATTTGGTCCTTCACTTGTTATTAGTATAAGATACTTGGGACATGCTTCCTGGATTGGTTGTGACACCACAGTTGAAAACGTCATTCTCTTCACAATGAACAGCTCACAGCTCCCTTTAATACCCCAAGCCCCCTTTGCCTAGGATTCCGTCACTCCTCTCCCTTCTGTACAGCCTCAAAGTCTTACTTGGCTCCAGCACTACGTTCTCCAGGAAGCCCGCTCTGACCTCTTCCCTCTACCGAGACACCATGATTCTAACGCAACTCCCTGGAGGAGAACAGTTTCACTGTTCACTTGATTCCCAGTCTACCTCCTGCTGTAACCGTAGCTCATCATGGAGCCCAGAGGGCTTGGGCGTGTGGTACAACCAGCAGAAATCCAGCATGGAAGAAGTAAAGAGAGTGGGAGGGAAGAGCAGTAGCAAGAAGCACGTTTACCAGGCACCCTTTTTACCTTTTCACCAGTATTTTTTTCCATCTGCCAAAAACATCTGCCTTCAAGTTCTCCTGCAGGTTTCTCATCTTGCCCTTATCGGGCAGAATGAAGGTGGCCACGAGGTTTCCCTGGTAGGGTATCTCCAGGACGGTGCAAGAGAGCTGCTTGTCATAACCCATGTCATACAGGCCTCCTCGGAACATCATGGGCACCTTCACTGATCTGTTTCTGCTCACGAAGAAATCTTCCTCTTTTGTCTCTTTTGGATCAAACTCACGTTGCCACCTGGCTTAGGATTGAAGAAGGACAAAAATGACATATGAGTGTCCAGATGATAAGAAGGCGACTGGATTCAACTTTCACTGGTCTCTGATCACACAGATTTAGAGTAAGGGGCTTGGCTATTTGGGGATATCACAGAAAGACTCCAGGAGTCCCTGCCCTCCTTCCATGCCCTGAAGATTTTTGGCAAGGTGGGCTCTGGCCCAGTGGTAAGCTCTGAATGGAACCAGGATTAAGGCTGCCCCCTGCCCTAAGCCCAGGTGCCTCTGAGGCTGAGAATGTCTGCAGCTCGTGTCCCAACAGAGAGGACTGGATTGCGACCAGTGGGTCTCTCTGAGTGCAAATGCTTCATTCTATTTTAAGTCAACCCTAAAGGAGCCACCATCATGTGCCCTCAGGAGTGCTGCACCGCAGTGGACACTCAAAGCTGGGCATTTGGACCTCTCCTTCTTGATCCTGAGGACACATTGTCTCCATTGCACATAAACTCACCTCTGTATCTTCAAACCTGCTACCCTCAGAGGCCCCAGTATAGGTTCCTGAGGGTCAACACCCTGAGTTCCAATTAGGGCTTCACTGTTTGTTCTAAAAGGGGACCTTGGACATCTGTCTCAATTTCCCTGGACTTCAGTGTCCCTAATTCATAGAAAGGGGATATTGATAGGTGCCTTCTAGGGCTGTTTTGGGACTTGGTGAAACAAGGTCTGACTGTCCAGTGAGTATACAGCAAGGATTGAGAGGATGCTTGTCATCATCAGCATCTTTATTGTCACTGTTGTTCGGATGCCATCTAGGGACAAAGGGGCTTTGAGAAATCCAGAATTCTTCTTCCCTCCTCTCTGGTTTAGGCAGACTGTGATTTAAGACTGCTGTCACCATTTCTTTTTCCCTAAATAGCCATCCATCTCTCTGTGGAATTTGGGAGACCCAACCTTCCGTATTTAGGACCAGGAGTGATCTTGTTGTGGGCTTCTGATTTTCACCTGTTTGGGGCCAATCTGTGTGTGTGTGTGTGTGTGTGTGTGGTATATGAGTGGTTGTAGGGAAGGGATTAAGCTTGAATTTGAGAACATTTTTAATCTTCTTTTTCAGCTTTTCTCTTAAACCTGGGAAATCTACAAAGTCTAATATGGGGACAAAGCCACCTACCAAAATGACCACCAGTATCAATACAATCCTCATCCCGGGAGTGTACTTGATGTAGTGCAAAGTGCACGGCCCTAGGGACAAGAGAAGTGGATTCCAGTCCTGGCTGTCCTTGACTGGCTTTGCAACTTGGAATAAGTAACTAATCTCTCGCTGCATCTCTCTTTTCTGAGCTAAGAAATGGAGACAAGAATGTCAGTCTAACCTCTACAGCCAATGTTGTCAGGATACTCAGTAATACTGCAAATGTACATGTGGAGAATAACTTAGACTTCATAAAGCTCATTTCGCAATCATTTCCACACTGAACCCCAAAGGCTGTGCATCATAGTATTCACAGGGACGTGGGGCTGAGAGGTTAGCTGCATGGGAATCCAAGCTCACAAAACAAGTACGTGGCTGATTTTTAATCCAAGTCTATTGGGCACCCCTAAGTCCTCCACACTAACATGCCCAAGCCTTACCTCGAAAGTAAATGTAGTTTGTAAGAAGCATCACAGTGCCAGGGTCTATATTCCTGATCAGGTTGTTGATTCTCCCATGGGTTTCCTCACTGACATAGTCATTGATCTGTTTCTGGGTGTTTTCTAGGTCCTGGAAGTTGGCAGGGAGAGTTTCTGCATTGTACATGCTCTTGGCCACTCTCAGAAACTTCTGCTGTGGCTGCAGCTTCTGGTCCATGAACAGGGTGTTGCCAAAATGCAGCTTGACATCCTCCTTGTCCTGGTTCAGCTCGCGGAGGAGGTGGTGGAAGGCCTGGTGCAGCTCCCTCTCCGGCATCCCCTTGAAGTTGAAGCCCTGCTTGATCTCGGTCAACGTTGAGTCCTGGGCCCCCAGACACAGCAGAGAGAAGCCGGTGGAGATGCTCAGGGGTGAGAAGAAGACATTCTTGCTGGGGCTGTTGAGGGCCAGCTTCCTGAGCAGCCTGAAGCCAAAGTCCATGTTGCGCCTGGCCAGTTCCTGGGCATTCTTCTCTTCCTTCCACCCTCGAGGGTGGGTGTTAGATGCTGAGACTGGCTGAGGGACACTGGACTCCTGTTGCTCTTCTGCGGCGAGGAGGCCAGCCAGGAGCAGGCCCAGGCTCAGGCCCAGAGTGAGGTTCATGGTCCTCAGAAGGGGTCCTGTTGAGTAGTAGACCTGAGGTTAGCAGGAAAATCACCAAAGAGCTCCCTTGTTTCTGTCTTGTTCCCAAAGCAGGCCAGGTGAAAGGAGGAACACAGGGACTAGCACGGGACACGGAGTGGCGTCTTACCACTCATGCTTTAGGGTCATCCCAGGGACTAGAGGTGATTTTCCTCGAGTCCTAAGTGAGAACCTGAGCGATGAAGACAGCGCCTATTGTTGCCCCTCCTCCCCCACCTTACGGTAGCAGTCACTCGGTTCCCTTGAGGAACTTGTGTTCCCTACCTCACTGTAGCCTTCTACAGCCTGGGCCTGAGGCCCAGAACATGCCTCTCTCACTCTCCAACCCTTTGCCAGGTGGATGGGTTAAAGAATGAGAGCGTGACTGAAATCAGGTCCATCTGTGTCTTCCTGGAGAAACCAAACTCTTCCTAACTTTGGGGTCATTGGCTTCATGATGTAATCTGGAAGGAGAACGTGGCCGTGACTTTCACAGGTGGACGGAGGGAAGAGAGACAGGGCTGCCAAGAGAGAAGTGGGCAGCCACATCTGAGGGCATTTTTGGAGTCCTGGATGGACCTCTTCCTGATGCCCACTTACCTCCATTTCCCCAAGTTTGAGGGCTCAATAGATTTCCAATTTAGGCTTGGCTGGTTTGAGTTGGATTGTTTTTCCAATTTTAGTATATATGCTGCTGAAGCAAGCAGGGATTTTTTTCCCCTAGAGCCAAAAGAATTCTGACTAATTTACAGAAAGAAAGCTCTCTGTGTGAGATCACATGCCCCGAGAGCAGTGAATAGGGCAGGGGATGTAGCTCAGTGGTTCCACCGCCTGCCCCGCAAGCACAAGGACCCGAGTTCGATCCCCAAGAGCCCGCCCCTGAGAGCAGTGTGTATCCTGTCGAGGTTAACTCCAGTTTCTGGTAAAGCGCCTGCCCCATGCTCTTTCCAGGGAAGGGAACAGTCAAGCAGAGGAAAAGCCAAGCCTGCCTGTTCCGCAAGTGCTGCTCCTTTCACCAACCTCTCCGCTCTGATATCACCCAAGGCCACTATGAGCTTTTAGAGGACAAATATTTTGTTTTCCTTTTTCCTCTAATCTCCAGGCTTAGGGCTTCAGAGACCTGCCAACAGCACAGTATATCTAAAAAGTTTGTCAATTTCTCTAATTAAAAATACTATGTTCAATGATTTTTATAATAATTTATATGTAAAATAAAGGCAGGCCTCTTTGCTTGGTCCCCTGGTGTATCAACTATGCCTTTACATGTCCGAGTCCACGGAGCATGGAGGCTATCCCTGGCCATTTAGACTGGGCTTGAAGGGGCATAGTTTTCAAGGGACTCGGGCGCATGTTGTCTGTTTAGGGTTGTTTTAGGAGGAGGCTCTGGGGAAGCGATCCCAAGGATTGGACTCTGGAGAGCTGGCCTTTTAGATGGCATGTGACATTTGGTGACGGTGACCTGCCCCCAGGATGAAGACATGGCACATAACTTCCTGGAACCATTCACTCTATCAGTGGAAGAAAACCTTCTGGGTCAGGAAGGGTGGCTGGGAACTCGGAGCAGCCAACCACACTATCCCACGGGAATGCATAGGCCCCACTGCAGCAGAGCCCTAGTGTATACACCCAGCGGGCTCTTTCCGGCTGACCAGTTGGGTGCAAGAAAGATCCCTAAGATGAGGCGTGTGCCTGGGAGCCTCCAGCCCTGGCTCTTCCTGGACTGTGATGACACCCTTCATCACAGCAGACATGGTCTTTAAGGAGCTGGCTGTATGGTACTGACAATTCTGGCAGATACTGCTAGATTTTTTAAATTATCCACTCCTCCCTCAGGCAGCCTATGAGCCTCAGGGAGCGGACCTCTGGTCCCAGGTCCCCAAGAGAGGACCTGATTGGTGCAGGATAATCTTGCTAATCTTGCTCCTGCTGATGATTGGTTAGGAAACAGACACAATCCACTCAAGGTGAGTTCAGGGAGGGGCATATGATGTAAGTGGTCCAGCCAGGGTGAACTTCAGACCTGTTGGCATGTTGGGTGCTGCTCTCTCAGTTCCCTGGATTCCAGGGGCAGGAGAGTATGGCAGGCAAACTAGTGCTCCATGCTGCCCCACAAGGGAAGTGAAGATAAAGCCAGAGCACCGAGGACACATCCCAGGGCTTTGTGGAGAGCCGTGCTCCCTCCACCTTTGCATGGATGTCAGGTTACCTGGGCAGGTACTTAAAGCCAAAAGCATCCTGAGAAACAGGAATTTTTTTTAAGTGCCAGTACTGTGGAGTAGTCAGGAGCTCTGCTCTCTGGCCTTGTGCCTTCATAGCAGTGTGGCATCCTAGAAACTACTGCCCTGTCCGGAACCCAGGGTTCTCAAAGCACCTTCCACTCCCAGGACTACGTTTGGTAAAAATTAGAAGAACTGGTGATGAACAAGGGCTCTGTGGGCTACCTGAAAACCGAGGAACTAGGAGAATCTTTTAGGATGCTTCTAATAAACAAAAGTGAACAGAACACGCACAGGAGCCAATCCCAGGCGCTCTCAGGTAGGACAGTCGACAGAGGCTGCCTAGATTCAAGGGCAGAGCTTTGCTGCTCTGAGTGGATTTGCACCATGGTGGATGCACAGCTGAGGGAGCTGAGGAGCCTGGTCAGAAGGATGTGGCAGCCACGGAGCTGAGAAGCCAGGAGCAACCTGACAGAAGTCGTACCAGTGACTCAGGGCAGGCTACGCCCTCCCAGCATGGGGTGACTGCTGGGCTCCGCCTCAAAGACACTGCCTGGGGCATCCTGGGCTCTCACAGCTTGGTGGCAAAGGTCCCTTGCTGACCCTTAGAAGTGTTCTGAAGTGAGGAATGACACTTCGGTGCTAGTTAGACAGCACAAGGCAAGTCCCTTGGTCCTTCAGACACCAGCATCTTCATCCATTAAATTTAAGGTGAGGATTCATTTTCTCACCTTTATGAGGCTGCTCAGAAGCTGGCTGCCACCCTGGGGTTTCAGGTCTTGACCTCCTCCCACCTCAGGAGCCTGTGTCACAGTGGTCCCCTCAGTCCCCTTGTGCCTCCTGCCCAGCTCCCGCCCCAGTGTAAACAACCTGGCCTCTTCCTCCCAGCAGCCCACACTAGCTCCATTCTGGGCCTTCCCATCTGTCATCATGGTCCCTAAACTGACCCAAATTTGTCATATGGGTTAAATGCCTGAGTAGGCTAAGCTTCTTTTCCATCAATTAAAATAGCTGAGCAACTGGTTATTTCCCAATGAATGGAAAGGTTGTTCTCTGGAGTTGAGCAATTCTTTGTTGGGTTTTAGTTTGGAATGTGCACGTGTGTGTATGTGTGTGGAACCATTCTCTCTAGAGTGATGGCCTTTCCATCCCCTCCCTGACTTGCCCTTCTCCTAAAGTTTACTGTCACAGCTCTCTCCTCTGTGATGAAGCTCCCTGGCCAGAAAAAGTTCCTGTGATCTCTTTCCTCGAGCCAACAAGAACAAAAAGTGGAGGGTGTGCTGCACAAGTTCCCATCCCAGTGTCTAGGCCCAATAGCGTGAGCTTCCAGCAGCCATAATGGTGCCTCATGGGCTGCATACACCAGGTACCCTTCCCCATCCTGAGGGACCCCAAGCCCTCTGAGATCCCAGCTTCCCTCAGATTCTTTCCAGAGCTCCCCCACTGGGTATGTAGCACTTAGGGACACTCAGTACCTCCCTTGGGCTGAGAGATATGAAGGATCTTTCTAAAGATCTATTTTGGTATCTCCAAAAAAGACCACTGCCAAAGCCCTATACTTGAAGGCACATCCTAGGCACGTTCTGTGGTCCACCTGGTCTGATGGATTGATGTTCTAAGAAGAAATCAGAAATCATACTAGATAAATTAGAAGCTAAAAGATTATTTTTGAAAGCAAGTTTAAAACTAAGTGGTGATGCTACATTTCCTTTCCCCACTATTGGAAGTGAGAGAAGCTCCCGATTAGAGAAGAACTCTAATCACCATACTAATCACTCTACTTTATCCTCCTCCTTGGAAACAAAGGATGGAGCAAAGTATGCTTGATTTGGCTTGCAGATTTACGCCTTCATTGTTTTGAGGAATATAGTTAAGCCTGTGCTCTGAGCCGGGGCCTGGGGGTGCCTAAGCAATGCCCGGGGGATATTCATATTGATGCTGCTGGATGAGAAGTATTGCCCACACCAGGGCCACAGACTTCTCCAAACAACTTGGAAACTGTCTAGTTCTGCCAGGCCCAACCTCCCTCCTTTTCTGTGACTTCACCGAAAAGCCTGAATGACCATCAACCTCAGGACCACTTGTCCTATGAAGGGGAACCATGGCCTAGAGCAGACAAAGGAAGAGGCCAGATCACTATATGTGTTAGGGATGGATCAGAATGGGAATCATTCAGTGAGGGCAACTCTGCAAAGCAGGCTGCAGAATTAAACAGGCTGCTTGGCCTCGATTTTACCCTGAAGTAGTGAGTTGATGGATGTAGCATCTGAAAGTCCACAGACAGCTCACTGAGGGCCAAGGCAGATGGGGTGGGGAGGCTCCATTTGAAGGGTCTACCGTATCACTCAAGACCACCTCTGTACCTATACTCACCAAGGTTTTTCCTCTAGGAAAGCTCTGGAGAGAGATGTTCATGGGAATGAATCAGGACCTCCAACCAAACTGCCCAGCTAACTCCTCCAAAGGGGGTCCCCAGATTTGGGCAATCTTCTAGAGTTTTCTTCCAATACACCCACCTTAGATGGTACCACATCTTTCCTCAATCTTAAACCAACCTCTTGAGCAGTACACAAGAAACCCTTGACCTTGCCAAAGGGGAGCTTCCATACTCACAGTACATCCAGAAGAAAGCTACTGGGCTGGCCAAATGGATCTTCCCTCTGGCTTTATTATTTATACCTCCATTCCTCTTGGAAAAGTCAAGTCCAGGTGAATAGAATAAGCTGGTCGGAGTGGGCAGGTGGTAGGGGTTCTGGGAATAATGGCCACACCACAGCCCTGGGGGCTTCTCCTCGCCACCGGAGGATGCAGTGTGATATGTAGGACCACACCCTCTGGGCTGGGGCTACCCTAATGAAGTTCACTCATATCTTTTGCAACTACCCAGTTTCTCAATCACTGCCTGGGTCTGGAGGCTGGGATAGTCTACAAGTGGATCAGACACTGAGTATTCAACCCACAGATTACCTTTGTCATTGGTGGAAGAGAGTGACAACTGGGTTTCTTGGGGCATAATTTTCCTTTCTTTCTTCTTTTTCTTTTCTTTTTTATGTGCTCCAAAGCATCAGCTCTGTTACCGTAGCTCACCAGAGACCCTTTGAAGAGGATTGAGGAGAGTTGAACAGACAGTGACATGCCTAGTGTCTTCTAGGGGTAACAAAGACCAAACACTCACATCCGACTTGTGACCATTCAAGAAAGTGACTGTTTTCCTATTGCACAGTTGTGCTGGATCAGTGGTCTATGGTTGAGTTTTGTTGTTCCCTCCCCTTAATTTTCTAAATTGTCTTTAAGTGGCAGCTATTACTTTAGAGCTGCATTCAAAATAAAATGAAATATTTATTTTCCTTTTATCATTTAGAGAGATAAAATGTGGATGATATCAGCAACTTCCAAACCTACAGATCCTGGGACAGAAGGGCACAGAGCCCGATGGACTGACTTTCGATTCTGTTTTCTATGATGAACTTCAGTGACCAGGAAAATCAAATTAAGTATTCTGATGCCATCGAGTGCCTTTGTAACAGCTATTGTGACCACACACTGTGGGAGCCCCAGAAGAGGTCTGCAGGATGTTTGTTCTGCTTTGGGGATACCACTTTGGCATCCCAGTGCAGCAGCAGGTGACCCAGAGAGGGTTTCTCAGGAAGAGGTGACACTGGTTTGTGCCTAGGCCTGGTCAGCCATGAACAGATGCACTCCTGGCCCAGAACGTCAAGGCTGTGGGGTTGTGGGGCTCCTGAGCTGCCAGAATCCAAAAGCGACCTGCAGGAGCCTCCAGCCTCAGTTCTTCCTCATCCAGGGAGCAAGGGCTGCCTGTGGGGTGTGTGCAGGTCAGTCAGTGCACCCTGTGATGAGACAAGACCAGAGGCTTCTGGGCTTTCTGCCCAGGCTGCAGATGTAACCCAGGTGTAAGGACAGGTGCCGTGGGGCCAGAGCAGGTGGTCCCATGGTGGCAGAGGCTGCAGAGATGAAGGACAGGAGCCAGCCAGGTGGATGCTGACCCAGAATGTGAGAAGGTTTGGGGTTTGGGAGGAAAGAATCCTGCCTGCTAATGACAGGGTGAGGCCTGGGTGATTCCCAGGTCACACCTGCCACCTGGCCAGATACTTTTTATGCTTCTGGCCAAAATCCTACAGGAGACGTGCCGGGACAGACCCAGGTGGGGGTGACCACTGAGTGACACTGGCTGCATCAGGGATGCCTGAACTCAGACACCAGCCAACATCCTGTAGGCCTCAGGGGGAGGTGGCCACAGCTGGGTGCAGGTCAGGCCAGGGGAAAACCCTGCCCACCCTGCCTGGGAGACAGACGTGCTGTGGGAGGAGTTGGAGGCAATGAAGGATGCCTGCAGGAGGTTCAGCCCTGTCTGGGCACCCATTGACACCTGGGCTAGACTTAGGCTGCCCACAAGGACCTGTAGATGGGAAGACTCATGGCCCAGACATTTGGGCCTGGTGTCTGCTGGCGCATGAGAGGTTGAAGGTGATTGCTCAGCTTGGGGAAGCTGTTATGAGTTGATGGGCCAGAGGCACGGGCCTGGGGCTGAGGAATGGCCAGCATAGTTTTCCTAGCATTGCCTTGTTAGGGTGAGGGGGGAGCTGGAAGTTTCCAGTCTCCCTCCCCCTTGGTTCTCCCAGGTATAGAACCTGTGAGCCATCCAGGAAGGTATTAGAATCCCACACCTTGACTCCAAGAGCCCTGATCTGATGGCAGGACAGGAGAACAGGGGGCTACAAGCCACACCTGGTAAGGGCCAAGGTTGAGGTAACTTTAGGAGTTGACAGCGTGCAGAAGGTACCTGATTCTACCTAGGGTCTGAGGATGGTGTCATAATGGGCACTCGGCAGCTGGGTTCTGAATGATAAGTAGGAGTTCTCCAGATGAAAACCAAGGGCAAGAGCAGCACATCAAAGATGCTGCACCCCAAGGGGCTGTTGATGATCTAATGCCTCCAGAAATTGTAAATGTGAGTTTGAGCTTCTGGTTCCTTAACTGCAAACTGTGGATAACCTACCTGTAAAGCAGTCATCTATCCTGGAAGCTCTTTAGAGTCACCTGAGAGCTTTCATTATGTTCACTCCCGTAGGTCCAGAGATTAGGAATTGGTAGGTTTAGAATTGGAATTGGTAGGTTTGGAATCTAGGTTTAGAGATTTGGAATTGGTAGTTAGAGTGGGATAAAGCCAGGGTGCGGAGCTTTGAAGAATTTCTCTGAAGGATTATGATGAGCATCCAGGGTTGAGAATCCCTGTTTTCAAGTAAGGACATCCTACCTAATGCTCGTGGGAACCATGTGGGACATCTTTAAAACATGGGGCTTCCTTAAACCACCAGATATGGCAACGCTGTAGCAATGGAGACAGACAAACAGCCCATGGAGAGAAGCCGGGATGGACCCACACGGGGTGGGGTGCCCGAGATGTGACCAAAGCATCCCTGCAGCTAGCTCAGTGGAAAAGGGAAGGTCCTCCCCCTAGCAATGCTGGGACCCCAGATGTCCGTATGGGCTGAATGAGCTGGGACCCCACTTTACTCTGCACACAAACGTTAATGTCAGAGATCATAGATCTAAATGTGGCTATGTTATAACTGATGACATGCAATACTTTTTTTGTGTGAAAAAAAGATCCCACAAGTATGAAAATAATAAAGCTCCTAGAAGAAAATGTTGTAGCCTATTCTCATAACTCTGAGATGGGCAAAGACTTCAAAGCACACAAGAAGTATTAATCAAAAAAATTTGATATATTGAAATTTATTAAGAACTTTATTCATTCAAGGTTATCAGATTTTAAATCAATAACAAAGTGACAACTTTGAAAACATAAAAAAGAGGCAGGATGTATCATGTGCAGGTGCAAATTCCCTACGATGAGTATGCCTAAGATGTATCAATGAATGTTTTGCTATTAAAATAAAAAGAAAGTAAATGTTCTTGCCTCACTCCTGATGTAAAAAAAATAAATAAAAGCAGGCAAAGACTTGCATAGATACTTCACAAAGGAGATCCAGATAATCTATAAGTAGCTGGAAATGTTCACGAAATTATCAGTCATTAGGAATATGTAAAATAAAGCCACAACAAGATACCACAACAAGCCCAGCAAAATAGGTAACATTAAAAGGACAGACAATGGTGTCAAGGCATGGAGCAAATGGAGCTCTATTACACTGTGATGGTGGTGGGGTAACCTGGCATGGATGCTGGGGAGAACTGCTTAGCAGGAGCCACAAAAGCTAAACCTTTGCCTGCTCTTTGGCCCATACACTGCACCCCAGGCCCAAAAGAAATGGGAGGTGAGTCCACAGAGATGTGTGCTACAGTACTGAGCACAGCCCTCTGTATCAGCTCCAAAGTGGAAGCAAGCCAGAGGTCCACTAGCAATAAAATGGGAAAGGCTGAGGACTTCTCAGCCCCCAGCCCAGCTCATAATTTCCATTTCCCTGGGTGACTCTCATCTTTGTTTTTCACAAGAACTTGGTTGAGGATCAACAAACAAGAGTGTGGGCACCTCCAAGCCCAAGTCATGGGAGGACAGTCTGTACCTCAAAGCAATAAGCTGGAGCTGAATTAACAAAACTGCAACTCCATTCACTGGCTTAAGCTCCCACTGGGGAGCTTAATAAATCCTTTAAATCAATTAAGACTGGTTTTAAAAGAAAATTTACATTTCTAAAGAAATCTCCAACAGGATTCCAGATTATGTTAAAGAGGTTTTAATACAAAATGTTGAAAATCCTTCAAAGCAAAAATGCAAATATGAAAAAGGGGATACGTAAGTATGTCATAAAAAATCAGGAAGCCTTCTGTCAACAGCAAGACATAATCACATCCAACATGGCATTTTAAACCAATGGAGAAAAGGTGAAAAATTCTATAAATGTTACTGGGCAACCAGGAAATCATTTCAGAAATAAAATTTGGAAAAAAAATTAAGAATAGGAGGAAATCTCGTTATTAGAGTGAGAATGAATGTCCCAGGTATGATTCACGAGCCAGAAACCAGGAAAGAAAAGATGGATATATAGCTCTTGTATAACATCTTAAAACTCTGCAGCAACACAAAATAAGGAAAAACTACAAATTAGAATGTGTGCAAGAAGGGCTGTGAAAGCTCTTAGCCACCGAGAGCTCTCAGACACCGGGAAGAATACGCACGCGTTCCTCCACGGGGGACAGTGACGGACACAGGTGAACACGCCCTGAAGCCTCACCCTGGGACTGGCTTTGATTTTCCTCTTTGCCTCACTCTCTACATCTTGTCTTCTCCTTGTGTCTGCAGGATGTAGCTTGTTTGTATGCTTCATTAGTAGATACATTACTGATGGGTAGGATGTGTTTTTTGCATGGTCTCTGTGAATGTGAGCTGCCAGACCCATTTTGCGTATGAAAATACTGAGTGTCCAATAACCAGGTAATTAGCAGACCCGGGACTCAGAGATCAGGACTTCTGGTTCTGAATCCCTGGTTGTGTCATCAACTCCGAAGGCCACAGAGGGAAGCAGAAGCCACAACAATTCAGCAGCCAGCACTGGCTTTCACCATTCTGCCTGGCCTGGCACTCCAGCCCCAAAGCTGGGCCCTTGGATCTTTCTCCTAAGACAGACAGACAGACAGACAGACAGACAGACAGACAACACACACACACTCACACGCTTGCTCACCTTGGGCCCCCCTCCCCGGCCCTCCTTTCCCTTTGGCGCATCTCCCTTGCCCCCCATCTTGCTGCTCCCCCCTCCTGGCTCTCTTTCTGCTTCTTCTCACCTGGCCCCACACCTCCCCAGCCCACAGACCTCTTCTGCATACTGGGTGGGCTTTGACCCCATCTGCTAAGCCAGCCTCTGCAGCCTCCACCCTCACTGTCAGCCTGGCCAGGTGGCCCTGAGTTACACGTGGGTGCTCTGCAGATCCATCAATGGGGTCCTGGCTTGTAGGACCCAAGTACCTGCCTCAAAGAAACCACACAGGGAAAGTTGAGGGCAGGCTGCCCAGGGACCAGGGTGACCCCTTCCATTGCCCTCAGGATTCCACAGCCTGATGGCTGAAATGACTTTGAATAGACTCATGTATACTACGTTCCTTCCTAGCCACAGGGAGGGGTTGGTGTGGGTGCTCTGGCACTGCTGTTGAATACCAGCCAC